AGATCACCACTCAGTTCACATAATTAACACACAATGTTAATTACAAAACACTCACTAAACACTTTACAAGTCTCTAATTTATCGCACTTGAACACTTTTGTTGCACTTTGATCGCCTTTGGATTCGCTCCGAAATCGCTGTTGAAACTCAACTGTTTCTGCTCGGCGCCAATTGCGCTTATATACCCCTATCGACGCATTCTAGAAAGTACCTGTTAAATTGAGAATTAGCTAGCACCCGCAAGTACGAAGTACCTACTTATACCTACGCAGGTAACGCGCATAACTTATAAACAAGTGCAGATGTCGTTGCACTTTCTCCCTTGCGCCTACATAAGGCTCATTTTAGAATATCTCTAATCTCGAATAGATCTCTAGCACTTTTGCGGTTCCGTTTCGAGAGCGTTTGTGACAATATTTAAAAAAAACACACGAAAAGGATGGTGCAAAAATCAGCTTCAAAACTGTGTAAAGACATTCTGCTATCAAAACCATATAGGTCAAAACTGAAAATACTAGGTGGGTCGATAGATGTGTCCTGGAGTAAATATCCTATTCTAGATTATTCATTTTAACATTTGGCAAGACTATTTTTATAATATACTTTATTTAAAGACTATTTTTATAATATATTTTAATACCAGCGTTGTCGTGACACGTTTAGTTACATGTCACGGCAGCATTATGCTGAGCGGGTCCTGATTGATCAATATGATGGCTGTTAGGTTTATAAATGTGTGTAATGCTTACTTTTTATATGTTTTATTTTTTATTTTAGCAGTTTATAATTAAAAGTTTGTGTTTTATTGGTCAATAAAATGGTTCTTTCTCTTATTTTTATTTTTAAGCATTTAACTGCTAGATATGTGTTTCTTAGGTTTTCACGCACACCACTTATTAAATAAAATAAGTTTCAACGGTATAGATGCACTTATTTATTTCTTTAATGACGTTTCGCATCCTGAAAAGGTGCGGTACGATAATTCAAACGACGCATCCTAAAAAGGATGAGAATAAATAAAATTAAAAAAAAAACAAAATTCAATATCGTTTATTCAGTTTAGGGTGTTACAAGCATATGTGATTGTCGAAAAGCTACGCCATCGGTTCGCAAATCTACGGCGGGAGACCTTGTACTGAGAAGAACCGGCAAGAAACTCAGCAAGGGCTGTTTCTTCTCCCTGTATTATATACAGAGTCGTCAAATTGAAAAATAACTTCAATATGAGGTTACTCATAAAGTCGCTTTCCATTACAAATGCAAATAATATAAAAATTACGAGTATATAAAAAACTGGTTTAACAAAGTTTAGGAATGCCATGTCCTACTGTTTAGGCAAAAAAAAAAAAATAATGAACGTGACGACCTCCGTGGCCGAGTGGTTTGTACGCCCGCCGGGTTAAATGGTGTATGTCGCCGACTCGAGAGGTCCCGGGTTCGAATCCCGGTGGGGACCGATGTTTGTGTAATGAATACGAGCATTTGTACTCCAGTCATGGATGTTTAATATATATAAATATACCTATATATGTACAGTATATGTATTCTATCCGTTACCCTAGCATCCCATAACACAAGCCTTACAGTGCTTACTTTGGGGCTAGGCTATTTGGTGTGTGTTGGAAATATATTTATATTTAAAAAGATTAAAGTTTAATACAACGATTAATAGTACCCAATGAAGCAAGAACAGACTCATCTCCGCTGGCAGCACCCGTTCACGAGCATGACGCATGAATCAGCCATCGCTTCGCTCAACCATTTTTAGGGAACGCAACGACCCGCCTCACACGACACCACCGAAGAGATTTTTAAGAGAGCATGACTATTCATAACCACACATGGATACGATGTTACAAAAATAGAAAAAATATATATAAGTACCATTGTACATAACTGTACATACATTGTTATAACAAACTATAAACACAACGGCAGGACACATGCATGTGATATCAAATCAGTGCATCTATACCGTTGAAACTTGTTTTATTTAAGTGGTAAGTGGTGTGCGTGAAAACCTAAGAAACAAATATCTAGCAGTTAAATACTTAAAAATAAAAATAAAAAGTATATTAAAAAAATAGTCTTACCAAATGTTAAAGTTACTGTTAGTTAATGAATACTATAGAATAAATAATAATAATAATAAATAAATAATAAATATTTCCAACACTCACACCAATTAGCCTAGCCCCAAAGTAAGCACTATAAGGCTTGTGTTATGGGATACTAGGGTAACGGATAGAATACACATACTTTAACACATATAAGTACATTTACATAGAAATACATATTTAAACATCCATGACTGGAGTACAATTGCTCGTGTTCATCACACTAACATCTGCCCCCACCGGGATTCGAACCCGGGACCTCTCGAGTCGGCGACGCCATGAAACCCGGCGTACAAACCACTCGGCCACGGAGGTCGTCATATAGAATATTTCATAAAGAATAGGATATTTACTCGAGCCCCTCCAGCATGACCACTGAAACGGGATAATATAAAGCTTTATAACGAGTCTCAACTGTCGACTCCACTGTAGTCTGATCTGACAGTTAATGTCGATATAATATCGCTATATCATATCCCGTTTCGGTGGTCATGCTAGAGGGGTAAGACACATCTATAGCCCTACCCACCTAGTATTTTAAGTTTTGACCGTCCATACATGCGGCATTGTTGTGCACAGCATATATTGTCTAATGGAGGTGTGTAATGTTATTAAATATAATTGTAAGCTATAATATATTAATAAAATGCGATCTGATATAAATAAGAAATTTTGTGTACCTATGACATTTTAATAATCATTTCTTGTATGACGTTATAACACTATTAACTTGACTTTTGACTTTTAATTAAATCATTTTAATTATTTTATTTAATAGAAATTATTGAATTTAAATTATGTAATTTATTAAATTAAATAAATGATAAGTTGTATTTTTAGTGACATGTGCCTATTTCTATTGTAAGTGATTATGTATTATTATTATGATTATGAGTTATGTTGCTCGAAATAAATGAATTTTATTTTATTTATTTATTTTATATGCAGTCCCGTCTTTGACCTATTGGAGGCCCTGGGTATATTAGGATAATGGGGCCCCTATGAATTCCGTTTGGTGATTTAACAGGAACTAGGGACTGAGGGGGCCCCCTAACGATCGCGGGGGCCTAGGCACTTGCCCAAAGTGCCCACTAGGAAAAACGGGTCTGCCTATATGGTTTTGATAGCAGAATATTTTTACACAGTTTTGAGGCTGGTTTAACCAACTTTTTCATGTGTTTTTTTAAATAGATGCTAGATGTTAACTTAAGAACTATAATACGGTTTCTGTGCATTTATCTTTTGTTAGACATTACGACGACGACGACCTCCGTGGCCGAGTGGTTTGTACGCCGGGTTTCATGATGTCGCCGACTCGAGCGGTCCCGGGTTCGAATCTCGGTGAGGGCAGATGTTTGTGTGACGAATACGAGCATTTGTACTCCATATATTGTTTTAAACTTTCATGGTCACTAACATTATAGTAATATAAGTTATTTACGGGATTGATTGAAATATCGGAAACTCGCTAAAAACAAGGTACATGGTAACAATCCCATAAATAACTTATATTTGTACTCCAGTCATGGATGTTTAATATGTATTTCTATGTAAATATGCTTTGAAATGTACAGTATGTATGTATTCTGTCCATTACCCTAGTGTCCCATAACACAAGACTTACAGTGCTTACTCTGGGGCTAGGCTAATTGGTGTGTGTGTTGAAAATATTTATGTCTTTATTACCTCTACATTGTAGGTACATAATTTACATCATAAAGCAATTAACCCGTCATCAAAATCCACTCCGAAAGAGATCTGCCGTAAACAAATTCAGACCTAAGCCCCGGTAAGAATAAATTTACCTTATTCCGTGAAAATACTTAATCACCTGTATAATTTTATCGATCTTTATAAGTAACTTTATCTTGAACAAAAAATGATGTAATAAATAGGTACTTACTGTATCTCAGTTTGTAAAACTCATTGGTGTGGTAGAAAACTAGGGGTTGCCTGCGATTTTATCTGCGTGAAAATTCGGTTTCCCATACAAACGTTTTTTCTGTTGTTTAATTGTTGTAATTAGATTTATATATTTTTCTTTAGTGTAAATTTCAGTCCATAAAATTTAATCATGTTATGCCCACATATTTAGAGTTAAGTACAGTTTGGTTTCCTATTATTGTAATTGCTTTTTTAATATAATTGTAACTTGTTTAGTTAACTAATAATAAATAAATAAAAAAAAACTTCCACCCTCTTTTCACCCTATTAAGGGTGAATTCTAGGATATGAACTAACCTTTCTCCTTCCTAGGGACTCAAAAATAGGTTATTTGACAGTATTAAAAATAAAGTGCCACTTGTTAGCATTTGTGTTCAGGATGAATATTGGCATGGGTTTTTACTATTTTAACAAAAAAATATTCATAATTTTACTAAAAACCCACGAAAAAGATAATAGTTTTCTTGATCTATTGTCACGTGACCCAAAACGCTTGGGATTGGCGGAGCCTAAAATGACGTCACACGCAAGTAAACTTCCGGTTAAAGTGATATTACTTTGTATCGTTTGACGTTTTAATAACAGTCGTGTGACGTCACACACTAGTAAGACGCCATATTGTCCAGAAAAACGTTTTTGCGGCAACTTGCGAATGGGTTTTTTGATTAGGTTATTTTTACAGAAATACACCACAGAATGATGAATGTCCACTTTTTACGGACTCCATAAACATTAGTCAATAACGTGAGATCGTTTTCTAAAACTTGTCAAATACCCTATTATCTATACCAAATTTCATCTTAATCAGTTCAGCGTTTTAAGCATGTAGAGGTAATAGACTGACAGACAGACACAATTTTGCATTCATAATATTACATTATGGGTGTTTTTGTTACGAGGAGCATTCATTTTGTAAAAATGTAGAAGTATGGTCATAGGAAATAATAAAATATTTTCTTTTAAATCCACACAAAAATATATTTTCAGTCCCATGATTTAAAGTAAGTCTATTCTAGTCAACAACATCACAATAATATAAAATCTAAAACAATACCAACGTAAAAAAAGCTTTACTCCCCCGACCCCCTAGTATACCCGAATTAATTTTAAATATTGAATATTTTATTTTGGTACTGGTGTCTGTAAGACAACTTAACAAATAACTTATCTCACTTACGAATTAGTCACTAAGTTTATCAATTTATGCGGCCACTTAATTATTACTTAATACCTACAAGCTAAACTTCCCCTTTTAACATAAATAAATAAATACAACTCATCCAATCACAAATTTGACAAATGCGAAGAAATATCTTTAAAGAACAACCGTATTAAAAATAATATTTCTTTTTACACTTCGACTTGGCGATGGGTATCTATCAGGTTAGTGACAATATTTTCAGTCGGTTTCGCTTTCTGTGGGTCATTTTCGAGGAGAGTTCTATTGATAATATTGGCTGCATCCTTATTTTCAACAATAGTAACATGGTTTCCTTCCAAGAAGTGGACAGTGACACCGTGTTCAGTGTACTTGTCCAAACCGTAGTTTTCCTCGACGACAACATTGGGCGGGTTGTCTTTCGGACGCAGGAGGATGATGGGGGATTTCAGCTTCTTGATATTCTTCATATCGAAGTTCAGAATTACTTTGAGTCTGTCAATGCTGCACGTGGCGATGTCGGCCATGAATTTCTTGGAGTATTTGCTTTGCACGGGCGACTGCTCGATGCCGTACGAGACTCTTTCGTCGAATGACTCCATCTCGTTGAGCTTCTGCATGAGGGTTTGGGTGACGTCATTGTTGGGGGAGACGACGTCAATCGTGTGGCAGATCAGACTGTTCTGCAGTTGGAACTCGTTCTTGAAGCTAATGGACATAGTGAGTATTGCGTAGAGGAAGTCGGGAGCGCCGTCTAAGCAGAACACGGTGCCCCTGTTGCCTTCGCCTTCTAATTTAGCGGCTAGCTCAAGGGCCAGTAAAGAGCCGAAACTGTAGCCAAGGATCCAGAAGTTTGCACCTGGAGCTAATCTGGAACGCACCGTCTGAAAGGAATTGGTTAGGATTAAAAACTTTGTCGTAACCATCGGAACAACGTCATCATCATCATCATCATTAGCCTATTAATGTCCCCACTGCTGGGGCACAGGCCTTCCCTATGGCTGGAATAGGGAGATTGGGCCATGACCCACCACGCGGGCCCAGTGCGGATTGGTGGGTGCTAACGACTGCAGATGCAGCTGGGACCAATGGCTTAACGTGCCTTCCGAAGCACGGAGGAGCTCGAGATAGTAAATTTTTGGTCACCCATCCAATGACCGACCACTGCGAAAGTTGCTTAACTTCAACGATCGCAGCCGAACGCGCTAACCACTTGCGCTATCGAGCTCCTCAAACGGAACTCTCTCGGAACAACGTAAAGGGCTGTAAAAGTTATACCAGGATATCTTTACAGAAAAACGTAGTTTCAGCCATTTCCTTATACGTTTAGTTAGTAATTTATCAATATGTTCTTAAGTAAGCAATTGTAACTTTTTATAAATATAAAGGGACGAACTAGGGAAAACTTTTATGTTAACGAGGCACAAAAAATATTGCTGCTATTACTCCTAAGAGCTACCTTCGGTAGCGACGGGAAATTCAATGAATTTCATTGGGGGTTTTTTTTACTAGAAAACACCCTTTGCTGTCTAGAGAATGCCTATGGCATTAAGTCCGCCGTTTGCTTATGTTTGGCAATAAAGTTTAAATAAATAAAAATAAAATAAATAAATTTCATCAACCGCTGTGTTGCAGAGACCTTATAGAACATGCTGTTTTTTTCTGGTATTTCCGGATATTTCTTAGGCTGCAAACCAAGGCCATCTTAAGATATCAAAATCTACCACTTAATAAGACTAGAGAACAATGAAATGTCTGAGTATCCAGCAGTAAACGGACGGAACACAGCGTCGGTAAATGTTTGTTCAACTATTCGACGAACGGAGTTTGCTTCAGCTAATTAACTTTCTTCGCAAGGCAGGCAGCCGCGTTTACTGTATTGCACTTCAAAACTAAAAATGAAATTCTTCCAACTTTAAATAATTTTTTTTTACAAAGTAATCAGTCAGACTAAATTGGTTGACGCCTGCTATTGTATGGATATAAGTGGACATCATCATCTAGTTATTAATAACCCCACTGCTGGGGCACAGGCCTTCCCTATGGATGAAAAATCCTCCACCCAGCGGGGATTGGTAACGATTGCAGATGCAGCCGGGATGATGGCTTAACATGCCATCTGAAGCACAGATATGCTCGAGCACTTTTGCAATGGTCGGTCATTGGATGGGTGACCAAAAACTTAGGGCGAATTTATATGACACAGTGCATTTACGGCGACGGTGCGGCGACCGCGCGGTCACAGCCTGGTGGCCCTGCCACTGCGAACTCGATTCATTTGCAGTTGATTTTAGTCTTTGTTAAAATTCACACGAATTCGTTATGGGCTATTTGACTAAGAAGATTACGATTGCATATTACTTGTACCGACAAAGCAAAAAAGAAGAAAAAAACAAATGTAGAAGATTTTGGTTTCATCCTATTTTAGCATGGCGAAAAGATTTTGGTGAATTTCATGCTATACAACCAACTGCGAGAATATGAAAAACAAATCGCAGATTATTTCCGAATGGATGTCAAAACATTTGATATATCATTTGATTCACATCACACAAAACATTTGATGTTAAAAATTTCGAGTGATTCGAGCGAGGCGGCCGCGCGATCGATGAGCGGACGCTGCGCGATCGCCGCGCAGTTAGTTACTCACAAAGAATTTCAATGTTAAGTTGAAAAACATAAATTTTCTATGGCTGAACAGTTATTACGCGGCCACCACGCGGTCGCCGCGTGGCGGCCGCAAGGAATTTTTCGCGTCGTCTAACTGCAGCCTTATTATCCCAAGCTCCTCTGTGTTTCAGAAGGCACGTTAAGGCATTGGCCCTGGCTGCATATGCAGTCGTTAGTACCCAACAATCCGCACTGAATCGCGTGGGAAGCCGTGTGCCCAAACAGAGGGGATATTAACATACTGATGATGATGAAACTAACCTGATACAGCCTGTCCACCATCTGTTCCAGGTCTTCGTTCTTGTGCTCGACGCCAAGTTGAAGGCCACACACCTTGATCTTGAGGCGGCGACATAGAGGTTCCATCATGGCGGCTGCCCCTTCTAACCCTGGTAGAACGAACATCACGTTCTCCATCACGCGGATCGCTTCCTCGCCCTGAAATTGAGGATAATGGTTAACGGTTTGGAAGAATTGAAGAGAAATTAAATAAAATTCGCTTTTCGGGCCTTGCCTGAATTAGCTATGTGTCTGCAATAGTCCATACCTCTACTTCATCGCTGACCATCATAGTAGGCATGTACATGAGCGGCTCAGAGACTAGTTGTTCGTCGCCAAAGTTCCTCATGAGCACGCGCAGATCGCATGTCATCGCCACCAGTATATATATACACGAGCATATCCCTGGAGGTAATATAAACCCAGGCCGGAGGAAGTTATGTGTCTCCAAGAATCCATACCTCTACTCCATCGCTGACCATAGTAGGCATATACACGAGCGGCTCGAAGACCAGTTGTTCGTCGCCAAAGTTCCTCATGAGCACGCGCAGATCGCATGTCATCGCCACCAGTCTATATACACGAGCATATCCCTGGAGGTAATACAAACCCAGATCGGAGGAAGCTATGAGTCTCCAAGAGTCCATACCTCTACTCCATCGCTGACCATAGTAGGCATGTACACGAGCGGCTCAGAGACCAGTTGTTCATCGCCAAAGTTCCTCATGAGCACGCGCAATCCGGCGCCCGCCCCACCGTCGCCGGCCACCGCTCGCGACGCTGACGTCGACGCCGCTTCTTCACGCTGCGCCGTCAGCTCAACCAATCTATGGATGTAAACGAATATGTTTTTTGTGTGTACGTTGTTGGTCGCAGATGACCTTTACAACATCACCGGGTTTGGGGACGGCAAGATATCAAGCCAAGAATTGGCGAGTGTCTTTAAAGGTATTCCAGGCGGCAATGCGCGGGTTTAGTTTATAGATATCCCGCGCGCACCTATATTACCCTACATTTTGTCTACTGCACCGCGTCGTGCGCACAGCCGCGATTAAGTTTCGATCGCATTAAGAGTACTATACAGCATCATTATTAGCTTTTTAATGTTCCCACTACTGGAATGGGAACGGGATATCTATAGCCGGGACCAATGGAAGGTTCTATTACGTTTGAAGTAATTAGATACTGGTCATCCAACTTACATTACACGACTGCAGTTCAATCCATCATTGAACAAGTTTCTCATTTGATAATCTTTCACGATTGCAGACCAAACGCGCTAGTCACGGCGACATCGAGTTCCTTCATCAATCCTTTTCCACTTTTAATGGACTTTGCAATAACTATTAACTGCTGCGATTCATCCTTCTAAAAGACTCAAGGTTGTAAGGTAATCGACCTGTATTTAGCACATCACAGCTACACTGAGCTTACCTTGCAAATGTGAGCGTTCTGATGTCCTGTGCGGTGAGGAAGATCTCGAACTCTCTCTCGAGGGTCTGTTTGATCTCCACCGCCATCATACTGTCCATGCCCAACTCGGCCAGGGACACCTGCTGGGACACTGTCTTCAGGTCCTTGATACCTGGTAGGGAATTGAAAAGATTAGGTAAATTAGAAAACTGGTCGATACGCGGATAGTCGAAGTGAACGTGTCGTTGTTAATTAACTGCATCTGAATATCTTTTATATAATCATCGTTTTCAATTAATTTGCGTTTTTTTGATTTTGCAATTCTTATTGTGCTCAAGACACCCAAGAGCCGTAATAAATTGAGGAAGAATCAGGTGGACCACGGGTAAAAAATATTTCCCGTGGTTCAACCAGGTGAACTATGGGGGGGGGGGGGGAAATACCCGTAATCCACCTGGTGAACCACGGGAAATAAATAATCCCCATGGTCCACCTGGCAAGGGCGGATCCAGCTTTGGCGCCAGGGGGGCTCATATAGCCAGCTTTGGCTCCAGGGGGGGGTCATATAGTCGTGGTATATTAAATATTGAAAGTACTTAAATAAAATCCCCCTGGGTTTGGTCCATCTGTACCCAGCCCAGGGGGGGGGGGGTCATGACCCTCATGACCCCCCCCCCCCTGGATCCACCCTTGCCACCTGGGTGGACTACGAGGTGGACCACGGGAAACAAAGGAATAGTTCGTATAGGTATTGCTTGCACTGCATTAGATACTGGGTACGTGTAACATGGTGCAATCTAGTCATCAGGTCAGGCATTATGAAATTCATCGATTATTTGTTCGGGCCAACTTTTACCCACTTACTTTAGTCTGGTTAATCTTCCATTTCATTACCAGCAATATATGCCTAGACACTACTTAGGTTCTAATATTTCGTTCGATAATCTTTAATGTATTTTTTTTAACTTAGAGACTTATGCCATGGGATAAATGGCGATCAATATATAGCTACCATTGAACTTGGCCAATAGGTTCGTTTATTCGTATTCCCAAATTCTCGGTTGGATAGTGAAGAAAATAAACTTCTGTCTCAGACTCGAACTTAGACAAATAAACCACTGAACGCCGCTGATTCAAATCCAACTTGACACCTGGGTCTAATGGATTTTTGTCTACTTGTAAAATTTCTTTAGAATTATACACCGCTGTGTTCTTTAAGTTATAACTAATTTACATTACACGAGTGGTTTTTCTGGAATCAACTTAATGTACGTGATATTGCATACTAACAGTTTTATTAAATGAAAAACTCGTGTTGAAAAGGTTTCGAAGAAATAATCTCGAAAAGCACAATATTATCCCTGCCTTTTTGTATTCATTTTCATACCAAATGAGGTTACATTTTTTATCATAAAGTGCTGTCACCCGTACATTATCTTTAAAGGAGCATTTATTTTTCATCAGGATGAGGAGTAATTGATATGACGAATTTCCGCTGAAAGGAAGTGAAACGGAAATAATCCTTTAAGTATCAATATTATCAAGCATCATTCTCGCAATATAATATTATTATATAGCTGAAATATTTCCATTCAGAACGGGCCTGGGCTTGATTCTTATAAAAAGAAAAATTAAACCAAACCTTTTATTGATTTTAAATCTAGCTGTAAGTAAATTGATATTTCTAATATTTTTTTCTAGTAAACTTTTTTTAGATTTAAACATCTACCAGTTAAATGCTTAAGAAATAAAAACATGTTTTCTAATATTTACTTAAATTTCTTTTTATATATTTTTTAAACAAGTTTCAGAAAACCCCACCTGCGCTTAAGAGTAAGGGGAGTTCAGTAGCGAAGATAAGTTGAAAGTTTACTGCTCCCGCCTGAATCTAATCCGCTACCCCATGGAACCCTGGAACCCTGGAACTTTACTCACCAACAGAACCTTATCGGCCTGAATCAAATACCTTTCCTAATGGAACCCTGGAACCTACGTCTACGTCTCTTATCAAGGTTAGTGGTAAAACAGGCTTTTAGGATTAAAAACCACAGCACGAGTAGAGGCGATCGTGCATTGCCTATATAATAGAAAGGACAGCGGAATTCCCACTAGCACTAGAGCCCCCGATTGGAGACGTAACGATCATCTGATTGTGTTGCTGTATCTCTATTGCTAGAGTTTCAAGCGGTAAGAGAATTGAATTCCGGTCCGTGAGACGAGTCAGGTGACGCTGTGATCGGAGAAGCCCAGGATCGACTAAAGGATGCCGAATGCACCACGCATTACCTGCGTCGCGAGGGTTTGTTAACAGCAAACCAACGTGGCGATGGTCATTGTCGTGGATATAATACAATTTTTCTCCCCGTCATCGAAAAACAAAAAAAAGTTGGCAAAGTACTGGTCAGATAGTTATGTTTGTATTTTTAAGCATTTAACTGCTAGATGTTTAAAGCTAAAGAAAAGTTTACTACAAAAAAAAGTCGTCCAAGTGGATTTTTTTTTCTAGTAAACTTTTCTTTAGATTTACTGGTCAGATAATTAAAAAACCTAGCCCAGGGTCGTCTTACTCACTTTTTCGCAGAATGGCGAGGTTATTATAGTTTTGAACAGGCTAGTACTATGCATGAAAAAATAATACTGTTTTATGTATTTTTATTTTAAGCTAAAAACTGTTTGATGACATGGCTAAGAAACTGCCCATAATGAATGTATAATTATTTCGCACTAGCCCGGAACTTATAATTTGTTTCTTAATAAATATAAATAAAGTTTTTATTATTCTCATAGAATTTGCGCGAAATAATCAAATATTTATAATTGTGTAAAAATTGACTTTATGTCTGTTCCAAAAGGAAAATGTTCCGTTTTACAAAAATAAACGAACAATAAATCCACACAAAAAAATGTAAGTATATCGAAATAAACAATATTAATTCCAAACTCCTAAGAAATAAGAACTACGAAATGCTTGGCCCTATTTTTTTATAACTAATCACTGAAGGCTTAAAATAATAGATTTGATTTTTCTGATCAGACTTAAGGCAAGGCTGTATTAAAATAAATTCTTTGATTTTTGCAAATGCTGAAAATAAAACTTCTCAGATTTCCTGTCAGGCCGATGACAACGAATTAGGACTTTTTGGCGGGATCGGGAAGCGTCACTTTAGCAGTTTTGTTTTTCTTGTTAAAAATTGTGTTGTGGCGGATGTTAGTGTCTAATAATGGTGGATTATTAAACCACGGGGAGGTTCCAGTAAATCCCCACACTTTTTCTGAAACATGGGGAAAGGGGGATTGTCTTGACTGCCACTTACTTTGACTTGATTTATTACTTTGGCCACGAGTGCTATAGTATTTGTATACATTTTAACACTTGATATTGGCTAAATGCACAAACCGTGCGAAGCCATTTAGAAAAAAAACAACTAATTATATGTAGTTATGCTGTTATTTATTTAAGCATTTAACTGCTAAATGTTTAAATCTAAAGAATAGTTTTACTAAAAAAAAATCCAAGCGGACCAGGCAGAGGACAGGACTCGAACCAGCACCCTTCGCAATCCGGGCGAATGCACTGATCAATCTCATGTATTTATTTTTGCTTTAAACACTATTTGTGAAGTGTTAATTAGAGAAATTTAATAAAAGATGCTAAGAAAATGCGAAATTGATGGCTCTGTAAATAATGAGCAATATCTTTTATCAAATAGTTTCGCGGCCTTTTCATGTCTGCATCGTCAGAATAATGATTTTTTATTTACTTTGTCGAGCTACCTTCGAAAGAATTTTATTGAGCGTTCGGATATTTCATTGGTAGATTTTTAAAACTTTATTGTCTATGTATGAATTTATTAGCTAATTTAGTTAATAAAGTACTTTATTTAAATTCTTTTTTGTAATTTTGAGTTATTTATTTGACTCTAACCCTACCGTAAACTACCACCGGTTCCGTGGTGAAGAAAAGGTGATGGAGGGATAAGAGAGAATAGCTCCTCTGAACACTCGCCGTGGTATAGTCGGTAGAATGCGCATAATGATGCCACATCACGGCGTAATTGTAGAGACTCGAGTTTCTTAGTTACCTCTTCATCGCTAATGATACTGTTAGGTGCAGCGCGCCTCTTAGAGTTTTAACGATTTCAGTATTTTCTCTCGACATCCCGACACGTGTAGTGGGCTATTGAACCCAGATACGGGACGCCCACGATTCCCCAAGGGTGCTAACCAAAATTAATATTGATGGAAGTGCCCAAATTGAAATGGTAACGAGCTTACAGTGTTTGAATAGGCAAACTTCTTTCAATGTTCAATGCCGAATATAATGAAAAACGTTATATGGCCACCTTCGTTTCTCCCCTTAAGGGGGAACGTTACACGAGGCGTCCTAATTTCTAAAGAAATAAAAATGTTTAGCAGTCGTACATTATTTGTCATGTGCATTAAAATCTATACATATTATAAAATGGTAGGAAAGTCAAAACTGTACATTTAATATTATTTAAAAGAATACTTGGGGTGTGATCTACAATCGATACCGAAGCCAAAAATATAGTTTTTAGAATTTTTGTCTGTTTTTCTGTATGTATCATCATCATCAGCCTATTAATATCCCCACTGCTAGGGCACAGGCCTTCCCTATGGATGGTATAGGGAGATTGGGCTATGACCCACTATGCGGGCCCAGTGTGGATTGGTGGGTGCTAACGACTGCAGATGCAGTCGGGACCAACGGCTTAACGTGCCTTCCGAAGCGCGGAGGAGCTCAAGACAGTAATTTTTGGTCAACGATCGCAGCCGAACGCGCTAACCACTTGCGCCATCGAGTTCCTCTGTCTGTATGTATATCCGGGATAAACTCAAAAAGTACTGCATGGATTTACTTCAAATTTGGCAAGAATATTATTAAGAAGTCGGGTCAACATATAGGCTACATATTATCACGCTATCACCTACGGGGAACGAGCAGTGAACCTTTATTTCTAACTAACTCCACGGGTCGCGGGCGGCCGCTAGTATTTAATAAAATTCCACAACACTTGAAGTCGGAGGTCGATGATAAATCATTTGCTAAGAGCTTTAAATGATTATTTAATAGGTACCTAAAGCATTTTATAGTTTGGAAGAGTTTTTAAAGTAACAGAATGACATTATACTTAACTAGTGGCCCGCCCTCGCTTCGCTTCGGTATTTTATCCCTTTGGGGGTAGAATTGATTAAAATCTTTTCTAAGCGGATGCCTACGTAATAATATCTACCTGCATGCCAAATTTCAGCCCGATCCGTCCAGTGGTTTGGGCTGTGCGTTGATAGATCACTATGTCAGTCAGTCACCTTTGAGTTTTATATACATATATAGATTGACATTGTAAAATACTTTACTGACATTGCATTTTAATGAACGCCTAATAATTGAATGATATTTATTTCAAACAAGTATCCAATTGTATTTGAGCCTCGTTGGCAAGTTAATAATATTATTTGTTTTTTATTTATTTTAAAGTTAATTGTTGTATTGTATGGGAGTGCCCCAACGGGGATGTTTGTACTTAATGTGTTATAGTTTAAGACCTTTTATTCCATGGAAACAATAAAGAATTAAATTGTATTGAATTGAATTAATACAAGTTTCTATTTCCAACTTAGCCCACGTATCAAATTGAACATTTTTGTAACTGTTGCGATACTAACTGAAACGGAACTTGTCCAAGGATTGAACTCACCCATAATCTGAGCCACGACTTCGACTATGTTTTCGCACCCGGATCCTCCTGATTTCTTCTCGGCTATAACCACCGAAGACACTACAGGCGCGTCTTCCTTCAGGAAATTGTCCAAAGCCATGATAGAAAAGGGGACCAAATGCAAATTTTACTCACCCATAATCTGAGCCACGACGTCGACTATGTTTCCGCGTCCAGATCCTCCTGCCTTCTTCTCGACCGCCACGCGTCTTTCTTCCCGAACTTGTCCAAAGTCTTGATGGAATAGGGAGATAATTGTATACTTTTACTTTACTCACCCATAATCTGAGCCACGGCATCGACTATATTTCCGCAGCCGGATCCTCCTGCCATCTTCTCGACTGCCACGCGTCTTTCTTCACGAACTTGTCCAAAGTCTTTATGGAATAGGGAGATAATTGTATACTTTAACTTTACTCACCCATAATCTGAGCCACGGCATCGACTATATTTCCGCAGCCGGATCCTCCTGCCTTCTTCTCGACCGCCACGCGTCTTTCTTCCCGAACTTGTCCAAAGTCTTGATGGAATAGGGAGATAATTGTATACTTTTACTTTACTCACCCATAATCTGAGCCACGGCATCGACTATATTTCCGCAGCCGGATCCTCCTGCCATCTTCTCGACTGCCACGCGTCTTTCTTCACGAACTTGTCCAAAGTCTTTATGGAATAGGGAGATAATTGTATACTTTAACTTTACTCACCCATAATCTGAGCCACGGCATCGACTATATTTCCGCAGCCGGATCCTCCTGCCATCTTTTCGACTGCCACGCGCCTTTCTTCGCGAACTTGTTCAAAGTCTTTATGGAATAGGGAGATAATTGTATACTTTAACTTTACTCACCCATAATCTGAGCCACGGCATCGACTATATTTCCGCAGCCGGATCCTCCTGCTTTCTTTTCGGCGACAACCACAGATGAAACTACGGGAGCGTCTTGCTTCATGAACTTGTCCAAGGCCAGAAGGCACGAAGAGATTCTTTGCTGAAGAGTGCCACCGATCTCTAGCTGGACATCTTCGTCTTGCATGTCAGCTACTAGACCCACCTGTTATATGGATATGAGTTCATGAAATCAATGAACAATTAAATCTGACACTGAATCTAGATTACATGTAACATTAGACCTATAATAAAGTATCGTTTAATGTATTTTACAATAATGCGGCGCGGTTTAACGATATTGATATGCAATTTGTACCTGTTATACGGTAATGAGTTGATGATTTCCATGACCGATTTGATGTAACAATTAATTTAGATAGCATATTATATTCAACCTATAATGTAGTTTCGTTTGATGTATTTAACAGTATTGTGGCGAGGTTTAACGACATTGCGTGCAATGTTTTTTCTATCTAGAGATGCTTGTGAAGTTTCTGATAAGGTTTGAATATCGACGCTAACCGAGTGAAGACACGAGAGCATTTTTTGAAGCATAGCCCGCGTATAAATCCCGACAATAGCACTTTTATGTAGGACACTTTCGACTTCTACTTTAACTTTACGTCCAAAGTAAGTTGAAAATTGCGAGAACGAAATATAAATGTACACGGAATAAGAAAATACAGTGATATGTCTGGAGCTGGTATAAGTAAGGATGATATTGATTATTTTTTCATAGATGACAGAAAAGGGAAAAACTAAGTATATGGGATAATAATAGCTGATGATCATAATGATGAGGAAGTACTTACATCTCCAACGGCACCCCACTGTATGGCAAGGGCTGGTAAGCCTAATTTCTTCCTCCACTCGCAGATTCTCTCCATCACGGAGTTAGAGAAGCCGTAGTTGGTCTGACCGGCGTTACCGCGACCGCAGGACACTGACGAGAACACTACAAAGTTCCTGCGCACGCAGATAATTTTGGGTGAACTATTATGCTTCAATTAACATTTGGAGAGGCCTATGTCCAGCAGTGGACTAAGATAGACTGTTGATGATGATTATGCTTCAAGTCCTACTCCGACTAGGACTAGGGACACGTGCTGCCAAAATCAATAGCAGCAGAATAGCCTTCCTATGGAAACGCTCTATCTATAAATCCTGCTAAACTGTCTTAAGGTCCACGTGCAGCCAATCTGCCTAATCTCGATTTAACTAAATCTTGATATAATCCATAGAAAAATGTCAAAACGACAGTGTAATTTTGATAATTTAGTCGATACAGGACTACATCTAGTTTTAGTTAAATTGAGATTTAGCAAATTTGCTGCAAGTGGGCCTAGGAGAGTGCCTGTAATTCTATTGTGTGCGTGACAAAAATGACGCTTTGTTCTGAGCAGAAATCTGCTGCTACTACTTTAACAGTTGTAATTTTATTAACTGGAAGTCAGATTTGAAAGATCGAAATTCCATTGGATCGCAAAATTACGACAAAGACCTTCACGGATATTGCAGAATCGATACGTATGAGACGCAACCATAATCACCAAAAATTTAATTGAATTAACAAAGACCTTTTATTGAGAAGAACCGTCAAGAAACTCAGCAATGCTGTTTTCTGATCCGTTCTTTTCATTCAAAACTTGACTCAAGATGAGCTATATAACTTTATCTACACCAATGCGAATAAAGCTTCTGAAACAGCTTATTGCCAACATTAAAATATCGAATGTAATAATTAAAAAAAAAATTATAACATCCGTTTTGGTGTTATAATGGTGTCGATTCTGGCATGATTCTCTAAACTTAAAACTAAATTTAACATCAGTCTCTCCTTTTCATTCTGTATAGAAAATGATAAGGATACACTGGTGTCGATTCTGGCGTGATTTTCTAAACTTAAAACTAAATTTAACATCAGTCTCTCCTTTTCATTCTGTATAGAGAATGACAAGGAAACACGGTTGTCAAATTTAAGTTTAGATTTAGAGAATCATGCTAGAATCGACACCACTGTTGCCTTAAGTTTAGGTTTAGAGAATCATGCCAGAATCGACACCATTTTTTTTTATTAATATCATAATAATACTCCTTCGCTTTCTGAATCCTTTCCGTGCCAAGAGCTTGCTCATCAACCAGCCACAATTTTCTTTGCTCGATGCGTGCTATTACCAAATTAAAAAAAACATTGTCATTCACGCGCGCTTCACTAACACAGCGCCGAAACGTATCATAACTTTTAAGTCCTCAATTCTTTAGTTTTAGATCCATATCATGGGTGTAGATAAAGTCTACTGTGATGTAATGTGCTACTATTATCACACTCGGCATCGACTCGCGTGATAAACCCACATTCGTATTTTGATACCCCTCATTATATAAGAGTTTCATAAATAACTATTATTCAATAACGTAACATGATTTTCTTACCTTAAACCCGGGCAATGCTTCTTTGAGATTTTATCCAAGTTGATTGTCGCTAGCGCCTTCGGCTCGAACGAAGTCTTGAACGACTCCGGGCTCTGGTTCGTGAACATGGCGTCCTTCAGGATGACGGCAAGGTTGAAGATGGCATCCACTGGGCCCATGGATTTGGCCATGAGGAGCATTTCCTCGCAGCCGCTTTCGGTGGTGACGTCATGAGTGGAAATTCTGACGTCAGCGCCGTAGCCGGCCCACGCCCTGGAGGAGAGAATTCATCATAAGCTTATTAATGTCCCCACTGCTGGGGCACAGGCCTTCCCTAAGTATGGAATAGGGACATTAGGCCGTGACCCACCACGCGGGCCCAGTGTGAATTCGTGAATGCTAACGACTGCAGATGCAGCCGGGACCAACGGCCTAACGTGCCTTCCGAAGTAATGGAGAAGTTAGAGATAATAAGTTTTTGGTCACCTAAAGTTGCTTTACTTTTACGATCGCAGCCATTGAGTAGAAACCCTTGAGAAATGCTTTAAGGGGTAATTGAGATTATTCTTGTATTTAAGATAAGGGGAATCCACATGGCCTAAAATTTGGTCATAAGAAGCATTTCCTCGCAACCGCTCTCAGTGGTGACGTCATGCGTGGTGATGCGTTAGTCAGAGGAGAGAAGACATCATAAGCCTATTAATGTCCCCATTGCTGGGGCACAGTCCTTCACTACGGATTGAATGGAATAGGGAGATTGATGTTATTCTTGTAATTTAGTAAGGAGGCATCCACGTAGCCCATGGACTTGGCTATGAGGAGCATTTGGGTATTTCTCCGATACAGAGTGTTTTTGGCTAATCGATCTGGCGCGATTTTTTTTTAGGATTTGATTCAAAATAATACATCGAATAGTATTTGATTGTTCGAAACAGGAAAATATGTCGAAGGCCGTTATTTACTTGCAAAGGTTTATGATTTAAAAGATGCTGATGAATTGGTAGGTCAGATGAATTATGATTATGCCAGAATAATGAGATAACGTGAACATATTAATTGCAATCTTGCAGTTAAATGAGGCATTCTTCAATTTTCAATAAATTTACTATAGAATTAAACAGTATTTCTAAAAATAATCATTTATTTTGTTTGGTTTTGGGTAATAAGTTGCATTATGCATGATAAAAAAAATGTAAAGGAACAACATATTATAAGTCTTTACTACTTCTAGTCTTTTGAGCGTTATTATTATAATGAATAACTCAACATCTTCTTTTATAATTATATTATATAGTTTGCCAGTATATACTTGAAATAAAATATATAAAACAGTTAGTAAGAGTCTTAAAATCAAAAGAACCAAAAAATAAATAATTAATTAAAATAATAATTAACTTATAAGCGATTTCACTGAGGGTTCTGATACATTCTTTAAAATCAGTTAAAACAAAAAAAGTTAAATGAATACATCATCATACTTCTAGTTAAATTATCATTATAATCAGTCTAACATAACATAATTTCTCAATATTTAATTGAATACAAAAAGTCAGGAATTTTGATCATGAGATCTCTTGATAAGAGTAAGTCGAATTTTGTACTAAAATATATTAAAATCTACATCGCCATTACTGTCTAGTGAAATCTTATGAATCTTTTTATGCAGATTAAGTAGACTATCATTGAAATATCTTTTCTGTTTACGGATCTCTTTCTCACTATAAATTCTTTTCTGCCAGAGCAAAGACGACTATTTTCATCGTCCTCAAACAATAATTCTATTTCAATTTTCAGTGCAAGTGGCAAATTTTTTGAATTAAGTATAGGAATGGTTTTGGTACTAATAATATTCTTGTTTGGTTTAGTCAGTGTTAAGGATGAAAGCGTAGAATTTTCCTTTTTAGTCGTTTTTAATCTTTGCTATTGTTTACGATAACGTCCATTCTGTCTCTTCATATTAATTATAATTTATTCAAGATTGGATATCTCTGTATCTTTTTTGTAGCGTAAAAGCCTAATGGGACATGATACTAGATGGTGACGAGAAGAAGAACTCGTGGTCGGTGTACTTATGTCTGGTTCAGATAGATCATTCCTTTTGTGGGACATATTGCATAAAACCCTAGACGGTACTGGTATAGGTGATATCGTGTATCTATTTATGACGGTATTTCTAGTAATGGCGACTCACGTATGCTATCTTCTTGAGCTATCAGTTCATTATTCGATAAAATACTGGGACTTAATGGAGGGATATTCTCTGCAAGCAAACCAGCAGTTCTTTTTTCTGCTTTTTTAGTTTGTAACATGAGTTGAAATTTTTTCTCCATCTTTTTCGTTGTAATTTCTGTTATCTGGGATTCCTTTCACTTATAAAGTTGCTATTTATTTTCTTGTTTTCTACGTATGTAGCTAAGTTTATTATTTTCTTGCTTTAATTTTCCACAATTCTTCGTTATTTATGATTTTTTCGTATCTTCTTTTTTCTGCAAGCCTCTTTCTTCTCAGTCTTTCCTCTCTCGTTTGTTTCTTCGGGTTCGTCATTTCACGGATCTAAAAGATAAAAATTATTATTTATTTTTAAAACATACCTGGCTGGGCTGCCACACACCTACCTAAAAGTCACGTCTGCAAAAGTTTGAAATAGTATTAAAGCAGCTATTAAAAATATTATGGTTAGCTTCAGTCATGAGTGATTGTAACAGTCTAAACTGAATAAATGATTTTGATTATGATTATGATCATTTATTTATCATAAACAAGTCAATGGATCAATCAAAATCACTTATTTAGTTTAGGCTGTTACAAACATTCTTGACTGCCAAGTTATATATTATTATTAATTCTGATATACATAATCTTAATTTAATAATCGCACATTTTAATACCATTATTGTGACTAGTGAATAAACATCTGGTCTAATTATTAATACTTTTAGGTCAATTCCTAATTTAACTGGTCTGTTAGAAATTCATCTGGCTTTCTTAGGCCAGATGAATCCAGATGAATGAGGACCAGACAAATGAGGAATTTGTGTTTAATTTATTACTGTACTCTAATTATTAAATATAATAATTCAGAAAATAAAATAATTGCTATAAAACATTCATATAAAAGATTATTGCTTAGTCATAAACTCTAATTAAAAATACAATGCTCACCAATCATGGCAGATTAATTATGCTGCTTACCTTACAATTGCCAGCAGAGTCGGTTTTATCGAAGTTTGTGACAAAAATGTGCGTGGACACGTTCACCACCTGCGGTGGTACGAAGCCGACCGGCACGAGAAATCACGTCTTGCTTTTAAAATTCGGAATATTTGAAAAATCAATGCATATACACAATGAACGTATTGCGCCAGACCAATTATGAATTTAGTAGTGGACAATTTTTAATGGTTTGTAATTTTAAGATTAAGACTAAATTTTTTACTACGTCTATAAAATATTAAAGACAATTTAATCAAAGACCAAAAGAATATATAAAAATCATAATCTGACTGTTCTTAATAATAAAAAATATCTTTGATTCGGTAAAACTCGGCATTTGGACGCGCCACCCTAATTAGATTTTACTGTTTTCTGCAAACTTTATTCATACTTGTATTAATATTTTTTTGTTTTATTATAAGGCCTCAATGGACATGGCCCTTTTAAATAACACCTAAAATTTACGTTACAATTAAAAGTCATTTTGGTATGTTCTTCAGCGAAAAACATGTCAAAATGGCTTTTCAAAGAAACACCCATTTCGTAATGCGTCGAGATTCTGACTTCAGCGTAGTAGCCGGCCCACACCTTGGACAATAGAAGTGTTTAAGGGTTTTTTGTAGTTTAAGTTGTAGTTAATAATCGCAATGAAGTGTTGGGTCTGTCTGATAGTAAACGACCTGTTACCAGAGAGTTTCATAAATAACCAAAGTTCCAACACATCGTCTCTGTGGGATTCAACTCTACACGCTGCATTTAAACACAATACTTTGAACAGAGACCTAGTGTATTTTTTTTGCAGTCGTCTGTCGAGAATATAACCCAAGAAGAACGCTCTGTTTCTTCCCATGTATCCTGCATTGTTATTTGGTTACATACTTGTGAAAGGCACTTCTTAAAGCTTTTTCGTTTGTTGCTGGAGTAATTTTTTCATCAAGACACGTTTAGAACTCGCATATAACTTGAGGCTGGAGAAGGAAACAAATATTTGCGTCAAAGGTTGACTTCAAGTTTTACCTGAGCCTGCTAGCCTGGTATCCGTTGCTGACGCCCCTGCGAGATGTTAGAAGGATCTTCCTAGCGCCTCTCAAGATCAGCCAGTCGGCCAGTTCAAGTCCAAATCCACCAAGGCCACCCACTATCACGTATACCAGGTCTTCATTGCAGGTGTATCTGTTGACAATACTCGTGAGTTGACTGGTAACTGTCCAATAGAAATTATAATTATGACACATTCTGCTAAATCCCTGTTTGATTTTCTTGGATTATACTCATATCCCTTTTTAAATAAACGAAGAATAAGCTTTTGTTGGATCTCTTTTGCATGTCTCGCTTTTAATCTAAAGAGAATTGGGTGTGACTGAAAACCAGCGCTGCCTGAGACATTCTGTAGCAAGCAGTTTATGCTGAGCCACAACCATTTGCTCTTTACGCTGTCATATCGCATTGTACTAATGTATTGAACTATCTTTTACTGTGATGGCAATAAAAATATTTCTATTCTATTCTATTTCTATTCTTTTAGATTGCTACGCTATGTTTTGTTTATATCACTCAAATGCCATTTTCTCATATAATGAATAGAGACCAATTACGGAGTAACTAATTCAAGCTTATTCTTCGTTTATTAATAAGAGGGGAAGGGGGTTAAGAGTTATAAGAATGACGCGACCAGACTCTTACGTCACGGGAAACATAGTTTTAAGTAAATAACTCTCTTATTTCTTGTTACTGTACCTCGTCGCAAGTATCATCATCAGCCTATTAATGCCCCCACTGCTGGGGCACAGGCCTTCCCTAGGGATGGAATAGGGAGATTGGACCATGATCCACCACGCGGGCACAGTGCGGATTAGCGGGTGCTAACGACTGCAGATGCAGCCGGGAACAACGGCTTAACGTGCATTCCGAAGCACGGAGGAACTCGAGATGGAAGATTTTTGATCACCCATCCAATGACCGATCACTGCGAAAGTTGCTTAACTTCAACGATCGCAGCCGAACGCGCTAATCACCTGCGCTATCGGGCTCCTCTTGGGTACCGTAGCAAGTATACTCGCATCTATCGAAATTAGCTGTTAGTTTCAATCACAGAGAGAGAATGGATTGTACGTTCCCTAAACAATTGTGAAGTAAACTGTTAAAATTTCATGCGAGTGACGTATAGTCTATAAGCGATATGAGGTGGTGGTACTTCATATTTAATCATGTAGGGAAAATTGGTTATTATCCCATCACTTTGAATTAATGTGGATTTATGGGTACGATGCAGAAGCGACCAATAGCCTACGTTATTGCACATAGTTTCCACTAAAAAAACTCAACTTGATTTTTGAAGTCACAACTTCGACGACCTACCAACTCAAGAAACTGGTATTCCGTGAAGAATTTTATATTTATATGTTAAAATAAATCGCAAAATATCTAGCTAGACATCAATCACTAAAAAGTAAATTGACAAGGTTAATATTTACAGGACCTTTTTTTCTGAGTGGGACTAAAACCTAGCGATTACATTCTCTTTGAGTAGGACGTAACTGTACTGTGAATAATGAACCAACTTTAACATAAGTACCTAGTAAATAGTAAATAGTACTTACTTCTGACGATATAATTATGACTATATTATAGCAAGGTTATTGAATTTGTTTTAAACTTTCATGGTCACTAACATTATAGCTATTAACGAGATTTTTACCATGTACCTTGTTTTTATGAGTCTCCGAATAGTGAGAATATGACCAGTGGTAGGGGTATCGAACGCAATAAAAGACGACGTCAGAGGGTAGACCGATATGACTGCCAATAACATCTACCCGCAATTACTTCAGTTACTCCGTGATCATGGCGCTTGTAACAGTGCCGAAATATCGGAGAATCATAAAAACACGGTACATGGTAACAATCCCGTTAATAGCTATAATATAAGGTTATTTAAATATTTAAAAACTATCCGATAAATCTTTTGGGATGAACGTTTGATATAAACATATTTAATCGCAAATTTAATGCATGTTCATAAAAATCAATACTCCATCTGGTAATTCGTTAAAAAGTAGTCGTATAACGTAGATTTCAGTATCCTGTTTAATAAAATCTTATGATTTATTAGAGACAAAGACATGACCTTAAGCATCTACATAGATTCTAAATCATATCCCTGTGATGCTGTGAATTTATTTCAAGAATGCTGAGTTACAACAGACTGCCAACTGCAAAATCATCTACAAAATGACCAATTCAAGATAAATGCTCTCATTTTTAGAGATTGTTTAGACCGCCATGAGGTTTCTCTGTACTACGTTAGGTGACTGCACAGAAATGTGGTTTCAAACTACAAACGAACTTACAAACTTTATAGTGAATCATTCAAACTAGGGTACAACAAAAAATAAATGGGAAATTCTGCTAAATCATGTTAGATTTTGTTTGATCCTATCATAGAATCACTATCCTTTTAGATTATACTAAGTAGTACCACACATATTACTTTTGAATTGTTTATTATTAAAACTGCATGGTTTTAGGCAAATATCTCTACTTGGTCTCTACTTATTTCTGTTAATTTTTTTAAGAGTAATCAAATAAAAAAACCATTGGACGATTCCGATTCAAAAGGTTTTCCATCAAGTCGATTTGAATAAAGTAGATTAATATTTCGTATACATCTGAGAGTTGAAGTTAAATGGGAGAATGAACACAAGCTAAGAAAATATTCGTATTTGCTATACGTATTTGCTAATAAATAAAATGATGTAGGTAGAAAGATTGTGCTAAGCTTCTATCGAGTCTTGGGTATTAAAGCCCGAACAAGATCTAGAAATTGAAAGCCTATCCATCCATCCATCCATGAACGAATGAAATCATCAACAGCAAGTAAATATCTTAGAAAACATTACAATTGACATTATACTTTCACTGAAGACTTCTTCATGAACTGAATAAAGTTCTGATTGGTGTGCGTACGAGTATTTAAGCAAAACAAATATTCTTATCTTCCTAATAACAAATGAGCAATAACTTTCTTACGACGATCCATGGCAGAGGCACGTCTATCCACAATCAAAACTCACGAGAAAGTGATTACCCTACCATACCATATAACGCTCTTTTTCGCGACGCCGCAACGCAAACTGCCGATTTTAGCGTTGCGGCGTAGCAACGCGGTTATGTGTTTCGGCTTTTAAAAAGGTATGGCGTCGCTTTGTGCCGATGACGCTGAAGTAACGGCCACCTCCACTCTGCCAAGAGTGAAACCACAAAGAAGAGAAGAGAAGTCAATACCTTGGAACAGCTTCGACGGGTGTAACTACTGGTTTGACCGGCGCGCGACTGGGCTCCTCGTCGCGTATCTTGATGATCACCTGGTGTACAAATTGTGATAATGTAGTAGGTTCAGGGCCGTCTTTAACCTATTGGAGGCAGGGCTTGTTTACCGGTTAATTTTCAAACCTGAATCAGTGTCAAGTACATTAGGAGCATTTTATTTAGGTTTGGCTCTATCTTAACCTTAAAAAACCGGTTTTCCTAAAGAGCGAAATCAAATAGGTTTTGAATCAATTTAGCGGTTTTTAAAGGGTTTCATTTCGCTTTTTCTGACGGCATCGATAATAAATGAATAACTTGACTCACTAGACGCTAGCAATCGTGTCAATAAATGCATCAATCTCTGAGCATTAACAAGTTGTGACTTGATTAGTTCAAACAAAACAAACTTTAGGCGATGCCGACGCGTGCACGTGTCGCTCTGGATTAAACCGGTTTATTAAGGTTTTAGGTACCGCTTTCATTTCGGAAGCGCTCCAAACGAAATCTTTACAAAAAACCGGTATTAACCTTTATTTACCGGTATTTTCGAAACCGGTTTCAAGCCCTGCTTTAACCTATTGGAGGCCCTGGGCATATTAGGATAATGGGGCCCCTATGACTATGATGTGAATTATGACTTGAAATGGAGCGAGTCACACTGATGATTTTTTTTAAAAATAGCTTAGTATACCATTATATTATATTTAAATTCATCTAAGCATGCTGAAGTCGGAAAGCCTAATTTTTAGGCGAGAGTAGAATAGCTTCGTGCATGTAAAAGCTAGTAAGTTAGTATTGTATTCAGTAATTTGGGTTCGATTTCCTTGAATTATATAAGTTTTTTGGTAATAAATATTGGTTATCGTTTGGTGATCTGACAGGAACTAGGGACTTTGTATTTGATCTGAGGAGGCCCCTATCGATCGCGGGCCCCTGGGCACTTGCCCAAAGTGCCCACTGGGAAAGAGGGGTCTGAGTAGGTGCCTAAATTTCTAGACAGTGCGAAAGTTTTATTCGCATAGTTACGTAAATTCTGGATAAATCACGACAATTATTTTATTTAATCTCAAATTAAGTTTCAGTTTTTACTTTGGAAACTAAACCACGGATAGAATTATAATTATAACATCTGGTGGGGTGGAGTCATTTTTCGGAGCTATTTAAATATAAAAATTATATATATGTGTATTTACTATTGTATGAAAAATAAAAGTAACCCGGGAACAAATACTAGCGTTGATCTTATATAAATGAACCACGATTCAAACCAGGAAAACACTCTTTTCGGAAACATTGGATCGAGAATTCTCCCGCGAAAACTCCAGTAAACTTTACGGACGCGGACGTCTTCGATCGATCGTTCGAATCTAGCGACTAAATCGTATAGCATATGTACTATATCTTAAATTCTTACCTTGCCAATATGCTTGCCCGCCGCCATGTAGCGGAAAGCGGCTTCTATCTGGTTCTTCTCGAAAACGCAGTACGTTAGAGGACGCACCGCTCCACACTCAATACCAGACAGAAGTAGGTCTTGTAGCCTCTGAATAAAAAAGACACTTGATGTATGGTGTTTTAGAGTTAATTCGTACTATTCCTTATCATAATCGCAAAATAAACTCCGTCACAGAACAGGACATACTTTTTACTGGATATTTCGGGGCTTTTGTATATTTATTGTTACCTATTATACATTATGTGATAAAAAATGCCCTCTATACTTGTTTATAAGTTTGAAATCAGCTTTCAACTTGACGTAACTGTATTACACTGTCCCTGTACTGTAATACAGGGAGAAAATATAAGCCGATGCTGAGTTTCTTGCCGGTTATTCTCAGTACAAGGTCTCCCGTCGTAGATTTGCGACGCGATGGCGTAGCTTTCGATTTCCACGTGTGCTTGTTAAAAGCCTAAACTAAATAAATGAATATTGAATAATTCGTTCATAATAGCAAGGAGCTGCAAAGAATAACTAAGGCATAGGAGAGAGTTGCAAATAAGTACAATATACATAGAAATTCATAGATCAGTAATTATATTTTTTAAAATTAGGAAAAACAAAAGTTATTGCTGATGGTAAAACCAAGAATATAACTACATATTGGCTTTAATGGACTTGGTGTTGAAGAATGACGACAATTGACCAACTGTTCCAACCAAGTGTTCTCCGAAAACCTCAGATAGTATTGACATTAAATTTATTTCGATTAAAGATAAATCCGATGGTACATACCGCCCTAAATTCGTAGCTTTGCTCGAAGATGTAGTCCAACATAATGCCGTGGAAGGAGGTCTCCTTGAGGAAGAAGTACATTCCGATGGGCGTGTTGTTGCTAATGTCAAATTTGCCGATCTCTAGGAAACGACCGCGGTAGCAGAGACACCGGACTGATGCCTGGAGACAAGTGGAATTATGAAGCCTGGACAACTATGGCGTTGTGTTAATAAATAAAAATATGTTTCTAACCCATATACTAATTCGCCTGGCCCCAAAGTAAGCATTGTAAGGCTTGTGCTATGGGATACTAGGGTAACGGATATAAATGCATAAAATGACGCAATGATAGGTTTATTTTTGTAGAAATACGAGGTTTACGAAGTCATGGTTATTTGTTTCAAATAAAAAGTCATGACTCGGTAAACCTCGTATTCATCATACAAACTTTTGCCCCGCCGTTAATTGAACCTAGGACCTCTGAGTAGGCGACACCTTGAAATCCTGTGCATAAACCGCTTCATCACTGAGGTCGTCTTTGAATCAGTTATTGATAGTTTAGCAACATAATAATCATTAATTTCGTTGCTCCTCATTAAATGTTGTGGAGTATTCTTCGCAACACAGCCCTAAAGCTCGGGGAATCAAATTTGGGACGATTCAAAAGAGTTGTACCTACTTAGGTATTATAAATCCAATTTTAATAAACTTTATGAACGCGGTGTAAACTTACCTGAAGTTTCTCATCAGACAGCGAGTTGAGCACCATGTCGACGCCTTTGCCTTTAGTTTCGCGGCGGATCATGTCTTCGAACGAGGTGTCACGGGAGTTGCCAATGTGGCTATCTGATGTGCAATAACACAAATATATTATCATGTATTAATCTTGGCATTTGCTAATAATTTCATTTGACTACCGATTGATGCAACTGAATCACCCCTGGCTTACGATATAATTCTGCTTTAAGTAATGTTGGGTGCATATCGGAAATCATGAGTGCAGTGCTATCTGTGAGATATATATTATCAGAAGTAAAAAAATATCTCTTTTTGGAGAAAAACGATCCAAATGCATTTATTATTCTATAACAAAGTATTTCTGTACCACTCTATTTTGAGATTGTTTGTTCCCGAATCATGTTTGCTTAAATATTTATTTGTGTATTAGACATATCATTTATTTCTTTATAATACAAATTTTGCTCAATAATATAAATATACAATGCGGGCATTAGTGGGGCCAACATCAGTCGGGCCGCTGCCCCCATGCTGACAAACCCTCGGCTCAGTGGAAGATCTTCCCATTTGACCTTCGACATATCTATACAGACTTACCCTTGAGCTGCGGGAACAGCTTCTTGATAAAGGACCTCTTCTCAGCAGTACCCACAGTGGTGAACACCTCGCAACCGTAGGACAGAGCTACATTAATGGCAGCTTGTCCGACGCCTCCTGAGCCAGCGTGAATTAAAATCGATTCGCCTCGCTGCATCTGACCGATCATTACCTTGAGGAATAATATAAAAAGTTAATTATCTCTTTTAGTGCCAACTTGTCCTGATTTATTGATTAAACTCTATGTCCGACCCCTTCAATTCCCGCCTGAACATCTGATTGGGAAGCCAGAACCACAATTTTTATTTTGCAATATAGTAATTTGGCTCATATCGGATTTTATTACGTGCGATTGTAGTTTCAACCTAAACTAATCCTTATGCAAAAATAAAGTCATGTCGTTATAATCACTCTTCGGAATAACGTAGTCTGAGTCATGTCATGTCGGTGCAATATCGTCAGAGGACACAGACAAGTCTTACAAGTCAAGTATTAAAATATTGTCAGATCAGGGGAGCTTACTGTCTAAGTAATGTTGTTTCGGTGTCGGCATGAATTAATGTTAGAGTAGTGTATAGTGTAAAAGTACCTACATTTCTGATGATTCTGATAATCATATTTCTCATCATAGCATATTAGATGGTGCTGTATTCGACGGGGACGGTGGCGGCTTCCTCGAGGCTCTAGAGGTATATGTTCCACGCAAGTGCCCGATCGTGGTCATATTATTCATTGTCGGAGGAGTATAATGTATTGACGGTATTAAATTGGGGTAGCGTAGTGCAAAAATAACTAGGCTTCTGATGATTCTGATAAAGGATTAGTGAACATCCGACTGAAGTAAATATTAAATATCGTCAGAAGAGCTTAGTGTCTGGGTAATATCATGTTGGATTGTTGGTATTAAATATTGTCAGATCAGAGAAGCATACTGTCTAAGTAGGTAATGTTGTTTCAGTGCCAGCATAAAATAATGTCAGAGTATAATAGATAAATATGTGAACATCTGATAGAGATAACATTTACAATTTTGTATCTAAGTAATGTCATGTTACAGAATTAGTGAATACATTGTCGGCGAGGCATAATGTCTTGTTATAATTAATTGTTGGTTTTAGATATTGTCTGATCAGGGGAGCATTACTGTCTAAGTAATGTTGTTTCGGTGTCGGCATGAAATAATGCCAGAGTAATTAGTAGTGTAAAAGAAACAATTTTGATAAATCGATTTTCTCACCATAGCGTAGTAGACGGTTAACACCCGACAGAAGTCTGTATTGAATATCGTAAAAGGAGCTTAGTATCTGGGTGTTCATGATGACATTAAATATTGTCTCAAGAGCTTATTAACGGAATAACGTCATATTGGTATTGAATTGTCAGATCAGTGGAGTATAATGTATGTGTGTAACTTTGCCAGATATAATAAGATGCTTAGGGTTGTGCAATATAGATGGAATTTTTTTGACAGCTTATAAGGATCCTAAAGCCCATTTTTGAACCAAATAGGATCAAAATTCAATCCGCAAAAAAAGTACTTTGGGTGTTAAATGCAATACACATGTGTTTTCATTGAATATGTTTAAAAGTACTTTGGGCGTTTAATGCAAACATAATTATGTTTTAGTTCGTTGAAAAGGGTGTTGAGTCGAAGTAAGTAGCACACAAAAACCAGTTTTTGTAGTAAATGAAACTTTCATTAATTGATTAGAATCTACTCAGCAACATGAATCTAACAATCTTCCTTTCTATAATCAGTCTTCAGTATGAGAGATGAAATGGCAACCCATAATAAAAATAATGTCCACTTATATCGTTGTGTTATCGTAATTTGATTTCTGGTTAAGTTTCAGAGTAGCATTTCTCACCATAGCGTAGTAGACGGTGCCGTACGCGACTGGGACGGTGGCCGCCTCCTCGAAGCTCCACTCATCTGGGATGCACCACATGAGCGCCCGGTCGCCCTCAACCATGTTGGCGCATCCGCTGTTCTGCACCATGGCCATCACGCGGGAACCACTGATCAAACAATCGTTTGTTTAAGGCATTTCATTTCTAATGATATTTGAAACCCCTGCATCATTAACCGACTTTAAAAAGAGGAAGAGAAGGAGGAAGTTCTCAAGAATATACTCTCGATATGGTCATGGTTGAATTGTCATGATCTGATCATGGACTTCGGAGAATGGAATGGAACTCTTCGTATGATCATGACAGATCAGCAAAATAGGGATATAAGGACACGGCCACGGAAAGAAAACATAATATGTCACTAAAATAGAATGCGACATTCTCGAAAAGGAATGATCTGAAAATATTAGTACCTGTTTCATAGGTCCATATCTATTTGTATACCTTATTTAAAGTGAAAATGTAGTGATACTAACAAATTTTTTATATATGTACCATGTAAACACTAACCTACGTTTCAAAAGTTAAAAAATCTGGAAATTCTGAAAAAAAAACGTTCTAAAATTCTGAATCTGATACCGCTGGATTGTACACACCAGCGCGAGTGACAACGTTTACTCCTAAATCGCTTTACGCTTGACTAAGTGTTTTGACGGTGGTGAATTACCCATGTGAATGAGTATTTCATTGATTTTTTTTCTCAGAAATGACGATTTGTCGTGAATGTTACTTATGTAGTCGCCATTTTGTTGTCAAGATAAGGACAACATTACAGCTCAGCCGTGCGGACTCGGACGCGGACTCGCCGTTTCGCTCGTGCTGCGTAGAAGCGTACAGTTCTGTCTCGCTCGCTCGATTGAATGTTTATTTACGTGTGTGTGAGAGTTGCTTATGTGGTTGAGTCGGAGCATAATTTATTTGATGCTAGTATGAGCGTACCGTATCTGCCCTTTTTGTTTTAATCTAAGCGGACGGTTGATACAAATGTATTATCTCGAGTTCTTCCGTGCATCGGAAGACATGTTAGGCCGTTGTCCGGTGTTAAGTTTGTAGTAATATTATTTAATTATCAAAGTCATCCACAGATGGCGTTACTGTATGTTTAATATTTTTCTATGCAAGTTCTGAATCACGGTATTTAGTTTGTTTATTGAATACACTTCAGTTCAATATTATTATGAAAATGGACAACCTTTGCCACAGATTTCGGTGTTTTATTTACTTAAATAACTCACAGACTTTTTGAGATTTGAACACCGGTCCGGTCTAAGGGAGTTGTATGTATGTTATGGCCTCCTATACCATCCATAGGCAGGGTATGGGTCCTTAATGGGCTGATGATGACGAGATGACGATGGGTACTAACTTGGCGGTTCTTCCTACGACCTCGAATCCCTGTACGCACTCCTGCGCCAGACGGCCTCGCGCCACCGCGTCCACTGTCACGCGGCCCGTCGCCGTCATCACGTCACGGAAGTTCAGCGCGGAACAATACACCTGCACAAAACGTGGCTGCGTGAAATAACTCATAAAACACACTTGACGGAGTGGAAAACAGGTGAAGGATGCCGGCAAACGAAAAACGCGGTTCCGGCGGTAAATAAAAGTTTTGCCCGCATCCTTACCAGACTAAATAGGGACAAACTTCGCAGGATTATAGGATCCCTGACTGGTCATTGTCCCCTAAACAAACACCTATATACAATAGGAGTTACAGACAGCCCCCTATGCAGAGGATGCATGGAGGCAGAAGAAACGCCACAGCATGTCATCATGGAATGCAGGAGTGTGGCCGACCAACGGGCACGACTTCTCCAGTCACCAGAATCGTTTCCGGAAGCTTGCAGCAGTCTACCAAGGCTGCTTTCCTTCTGGACCGATATAGGCTGGCTGGAGTAAGCGGGAATGTTTTGAGACACGCACAATGGTCCAATAATTAGGACTAAGTGCGGAAACCGCCCTGAAGAACTAACTAACTAACTAATACACCTGCACATATAAAATCATTTCATAGTATAAAACCAAGTTGCTGTCGTAATCTGCACGATCTGAGCGCCTGCGCTGGGTTAAGCGGGAGTGACGGGAGATCCGCCTCACGCAGCGCCCCTCTATGAAATGATATGCAATAAAAGCGCGGAGCGGACGTTCGCTCCGTGCCTCTGTTTAACGCAGCGCAGGCCGTTAACAATGCAACGGATTTAGTGTCGCCGCACACGGGCCACCGGCCACAACCACAAAACGCCGCCACCGGCATATTCCTTGTAGTTTTCATACATTTTATATGGACTCGCCACACACTCTACGCCGGCAGCCGCCACACGCTACAAATCGTCGTTGCTCGCTTCTTGTGGCCCGCACCGGTCACTTAATGCGCCGATACAAAACGCCGCCACACGTCACTCGTGCGACTCCCCATCCCTCCCTCCCTTACCTTAGTCGGCCGCTGTCGCGCGCTTCAGCCACTTTAGTAGCCGCTTCTAGCTTCTCGTGGCGGCGTTTGTGGCTGTGGCGTGTGGCCCGTGTGCGGCGACACTTACGTAGTCGTAAATCTTTGGATATCGATGAAAATAATGGAGGGAGGTTCTTTTCTATGCAGTTGTTCTTTTAAAAAAATACAATTAAACTTTCATAAGGTTATTGGAGCAGGTTGACTTCTATGCCAATCAATACTTAATTATGGCCTTTGCGAGACCGCGTTGAAGTCCATGCTTTTACTTTTGATAATACTTATTTGATTTCATATTTCCTCTTATTAGGGGTCATCCATAAATTACGTCACACGAATTTCATGATTTTTTGCCCCTCCCCCCGTCCTTGTCACAGCTGGTGACATTTGTGAGACACTCTCCTTCCTTAGTGTGACGTAACATATTATGCAAATTTACATTTAGAAATTATTGAATGAAAACAGCGGTTCTGAAATCAGTTTTATTTCCATTTAAATTGTTTTTTAATAATATTAACATCAAATCAAACAAATAACAAAACAAAAAAACGATTAAATAAAACGTTCTCGTTTGGGTTATTAATGTTTTCATAAAGTAATAGTTTCAACACTTGGATTACAATAGATTTTGAAATGTGATGTCACGAAATTTAGGACCCCTCCCACCCCTTTGTCACACGATGTCACACTTCGACGACCCCCTCCCTCCCCCTTAACGTGTGACGTAATTTATGGATGGCCCCTTATTAGAGTCAATAAATTTTGAAATTTCGCTGTGACGTCCTTGTATTTGTAATAAATATTTAAAACATTTAGTACTTATCTACAACACTTGGAATCGCAGCGTCTTGTTTACAACAATACCTGGTGGTCTAGTCTTAACTTACTCTTTGTTCATTTATATTTATTGTATAAATCAACAAATAAAATATTGCTTATTGCCAAATAGTAATACAGTTCTTTCTGTTATATCCGGTTTTCCCATTATAGGCAACCTGTCCCTTGGGTATCAACCATTTACGGTTAAGAATTCTTTTTCGGTGTGCTCGGTGGACATTTATTTTGATAAAAAAAATTGCTACAAAGGGAAACCATTAGAAGTAAAGAGATAATGTATTACAAATTGATAATATATCTATATTTGGTATTATATTTGTTCTTATTATATAAATTTATATTTTTTTTACAATTTTAGATAGATTAAAAGTGGTCTAAGTGTTAAATATTTTTTAAAACTTTTTGCTATTGATATTGTTATGTTCTGTTCACTTAAAGCACAAAACAGAAAGTAGCCAGAATGACGGCTCTCGCCTTACTTGGTCACTGTTTTGTGTTACCCCATTTTTAATGATTAATCACTACATACGACTAAAAAATATGAAAATCTCTCAACTTACATGCAAGAGCTCGGCCTCTGGATTCTTGAAGACCTGGTTCGGCCTTATCGGTCCCTCGAGCCATTTCAGAGACGACAGGTCTCCGACGGTGGTGACGTTCACGAAAGCGTGTTGAGCCATAACTGTGTCCAGGTCACCTAGTAGTAAATGGCGATATGTTCCCCATTGACCCTGGATCAAACAGATTTTCAATGCGGCTTTGCTTACTGTCACAGATACTCTGTTGTTATACTTTATAAAACTTTGCAGATAATGTTTTTGACGACCTCATGGTGTCGCCGAGTTGAGAGGTCCCGGGTTCGAATCCCGGTGGGGGCAGATGTTTGTGTGATGAATACGAGCATTTGTACTCCAGTCATGGATGTTTAATATGTATTTCTATATAAATATACTTATATATGTACAGTATATGTATTCTACCCGTTACCCTAGCATCCCATAACACAAGCCTTACAGTGCTTACTTTGGGGCTAGGCTAATTGGTGTGTGTTAGAAAAAAAAAAGAAAAAAAAATGTGAGTAGCTCGATGGCGCAGGTGGTTAGCGTTCAGGCAGCGATCGGGAGGAAGAAGAAGAACCAACTTTCGCAATGGTCGGTCATTGAATGGGTGACCAAAAACTTATTATCTCGAGCGCCTCCGAGCTTCAGAAGGCATGTTCAGCCGTTGGTCCCGGCTGCATCTGCAGCCGTTAGCACCCACCAATCCGCACTGGGCCCGCGTGGTGGGTCATGGCCCAATCTCCCTATTCCATCCATAGGGAAGGCCTGTGCCCCAGCAGTGGGGACATTAATATACTGGGGAAGATGATGATGATGATGAATTAATAATTACAATTGCTAATTGTAATTAAAGTCACCAATTACAATTTGTAATTGAAATTGTTAATTTGAAGTTAATACATTTTGATCAACACTGCCATGCGGCTTGTAGTGTCTCACTACACCGTTAGCACCCACCAATCCACGCTGGGCAGGATGGTGGGTCCTGGCCCAATCTGCCTATTCCATTCATAGGGAAGGCGTGTGTAATAGGCTGATGATGATGCTTTAAAACCTCTATAAAAGATTCTGAAACAGCATATTGCCAATATTAAAACATCCAATTTAGGTGAATGTTGTACTCATGAAAGTATTACTTATAATTCCATGGTTGTACTAAATTTCATAATAACACTGTTTCGCTTTTTAAATCCCTTCAGGGTTTACTCATCAGACAGCCACAATTTTCACCGCTCGATGTATGGTATATTATAAATTAAAAAAAAAGAACAATGTAATTTACACATGTTTCACTACCACAGAATTTTAAGTTTTTAGAACCCCCCATCCTTTTATAGAGGATTTAATATCATGGGAGTAGTTGAAGTCTTGTATGCAACTGTGACTCGGCATCGCCGAAAGGTACTGAAAGATTTTAATATATAACACCACACGACTTATAAAGTGTAAAGCAAGATCCTTATAAAGTGGGATGTTTTAAAATATCTTACGTCTTGGTAAATGTTGATAGCCAAGTCCTTGTCCAATTGTTCCTCATACAGCTCCAAGTCAGGGTTGAAGGGTGGTGCCGAAGGATCAGCGATCAGCATTCCATACACGATCTCTCCTCCAGGCTCCCTTCGAAGACAATTCACTAGACCAAGAAGACCATTGAGGGGCTCATTCTCGGTATAAAGAACCAGTTTTTGTCCTTCCTTGAGTTCTTCTTTAACTTTATCTATCCAACTGTACGAAGAATCAGTCGTGGCGACTTTTACGAATTTGGCAGGTCTTGCTCCTACCCTCTTTCTAAGAAGGACTATGTATTCGTCTCCAGTGTTATGGACGGAAACGATGTCATATTTATCCGAGTACCGTTTGGGGTCCGGACGATCCTTCTCTCTGCTGATAATGAAGCATTTGTCGCGAAGTGTTGCTATACCTTGTTGCAGAACCTGCGGTTTAAGTGGTGGTAAGTTTTTATTTATTTATGGTTATTAAGTAAATAATGACATGGACGGTAGAAAGACGATCAAATAATGAAGATTTTGGGGGTTGTAATATTTGGAAATAATAAATTTTATCTTACTATCCCTATGACTGAAAAAAAAATACAATTAATATTAAAAAGCTGTGAGTAAATAGATACCTGTATACTTAGGTATCTTCTATTTATTTTGGTATTCTATTAAGTATTTTGTATCTATTTTTACAATACAAAGCTCTTAATATTCCGAAAAAAAATGGTTGCCTGTAAAGTCGGTTTTACGGGCGAAGATTTTACGTGACAACGTCTTTTTCTCGGTAGAATATTTATTGATATGAATATAATTAAATTGCACAATAGGAACAAGGAATTGAATGAAAATAAGAATTGCACAAATTTTAACTATAGAAATATATTTTGTTTACTAAAACATTGTACATGTAAACTTAAACTTAACACGAGAGACTCATCGTAACGTTACCGAGCGTTACACTTTTTCATAAGTGACTCCCAGCCGCAACCTAATTTAAGACGTTGTCACGTCAAAATTGAATTGAATTTTTACAATTACAGCTACAACAATTTAAAAGAAAAAAAGATGATGATTAAGCAAATAAAATTGATTTCCCTAATAAGAAAACTTACGTCAACTCTCTTCAGAAGGTTAGCCCCGATGAACACTACGGCGTTGGACTCGCCCGTCAGCTTCTTATTTTCAACAGTGACATTAGAAGGTAAATCTTCAAACGTCTCTTCGGACACAATCAGTAGTTCAGCTTGCATCAGTGGCATATCCTCCAATACTAGACCCACTTCCACCGTGATCGGCGCCAGTTTGTTCGTCTTGTACTCCTCATCTATGTACTCTATACTTTTCACTTTGAAAGTTTGCACATTTTCGAGTACCAGCTGAAGGTTCGCTCGGAGAATGTCTTCCATCTATACGGTAGGAAAATTGTGTTTAGATACGTGGATATGATTTAGTGCCTTTTTAGCAGGGCTTGAAACCGGTTTCGAAAATACCGGTAAATAAAGGTTAATACCGGTTTTTTGTAAAGGTTTCGTTCGGAGCGCTTCCGAAATGAAAGCGGTACCTAAAACCTTAATAAACCTGTTTAATCCAGAGCGACACGTGCACGCGTCGGCATCGCTTAAAGTTTGTTTTGTTTGAACTAATCAAGTCACAACTTGTTAATGCTCAGAGATTCATGCATTTATTGACACGATTGCTAGCGTCTAGTGAGTCAAGTTATTCATTTATTATCGATGCCGTCAGAAAGAGCGAAATGAAACCCTTTAAAAACCGCTAAATTGATTCAAAACCTATTTGATTTCGCTCTTTAGGAAAACCGGTTTTTTAAGGTTAAGGTAGAGCCGAACCTAAATAAAACGCTCCTAATGTACTTGACACTGATATAGGTTTGAAAATTAACCGGTAAACAAGCCCTGCTTGTTAGCCTAAATCATGATAATGATATATGTATTGTGCATCTTTTTGAAATATGTACTTTAAATACGGTCGTCTTCTTTTGAGTAATATTATTATCCCAAATAATATCGTCTTCATTGGGGTAAAATTATTAACCCAAAAAGACGATCTTTCAAAAATATGTGCACTAACACTTAATATCGTAATACGACAGTAATATTCTATCTTAGCCGAGCACTTTTCAAATCTGTATTAGCACGTAATGGATATAATATAAAGATGTAAAGCTGTATCTGTTAAAACGTATTGAAAAAAAAATGGGTGCGTGTACTTATGTAGGCGCGTGAGAAGTTATCCTTCTTTGGCATCGTTTAAAATTAGTTTTTAATTGCATGCAAATAATTAATTACAATAAATTAATAAAAAGTCTGGAAAAGGACACAGTCAATAAAGTTCAGTTTTAATTTGAAAAAATAAATAAATAATCAAAATATTCAATTAAAATCGCTACTGAATATAATTTATTAGAACATATGTGATTTGCACTTGTATGAAACTCAAACACGTATTCCGAATATACAAACTAGAAACATGTGGATAAATATTATAAATATGAATACCTATAACTGTTACTTTATTACAAAAAATAAAGATGTGGTTTTTGGTTCTACTACACCAATGGTCAAGAGATGGCGCTGTAGTCTCCTGAATCGCGCTTTGGTTCCGTTGTTCCAGATTAATAAATAGTTTTGATAGGCCTTCACAATGCAGTCGTTAGCGCCCACTAAATAGAGATTCTATTTCTATTTTGTTGGTAGATTTTCTTAATGTGCGGTAAACACAAAAGTTTGTGTTACAGTGATGCGCGCGCATCTTAAAATTTCACTCTCATCATTTTTTCAGAACGCGCCTAAAGAAGTATAACTTCAAAAACAGGTGCATGTTATCTGTGTTATGCATACCTTCATTTTATCAGTTCCAAAGTTGGATACGAATACGTTCTTCTCGAGCACAGGTACACCGAGTGGATTCCTCTTTGATATAGGTGTAGCATGAAGGCCACGGATTTCGACACCACCAGCCCTGTGTAAAAAAGCTTTTGTTCAAAATTTATGAATTTTGCTTTTCATTGAAAGCCTTGAAACAAAAAGGACATTGGGCAAAAATGTATAGACGCTGCACCCACGTCCGCCATGGCTTAAAGTACATTTGTTTGAAAGGTATCATAGTCATGATCATCTGTGCAAACAGAGCGCATCGAATTTTTAAGTTTTTTAAGTTAAATAGGTACAAGTACTATAACGAACGTACATTAATAAAACAAGGGAATTAATTTAGTTAGTTAGTACGACTCTACATAGGGGGCTCAGGTATTATGGGAGTACTTCACAATTTGCAAGGGTGCCCCCTTATGTTATCCTGCCGTGCTAGAGTAAATCCAAAAATCCCCACATGGGTTGGGGTTTTTTCAAACATTCTGTTCGTTATAGTAAATTGTCTTCTATGTAAAACGGAGCGGCCACAAATCACACAAACTTGCCCATGCTTCGGAGAAAACATGATTCCAGTTCATCCATACTAATTGACAAAACCGATAATCGTGTTCCAATGTCCAAAGCGTGTAAGATAAAAATCAATCAAGTGACAGGGAAGTGCACGATGACCTAGTTGTAGTTTTGTATCAAGATGACTTACCTAATGACATCTACGTCTGGATAAACGCGGACTTCGAAGGAGTGCTTGCTAGAATCCGCGCTCATTTTGGAAATGGCATTGTAGTGCATGTTGGCGTCGATGGAGAGCTTCTCGACCCTGGTGGGGACGAACAGGCCCCTGGTGTCTTGGCCGATAATCTTGAGCTGCAGCATGCAGTCCATGAAGGTGACCCAGTTGTTGACCCAGGCGAGGCGGCCACGAGTGCCTTCAATGTTGCAGCCGATCACGCCGCGGAAAAGACCGCTGTTAACAAAGAATATCGTTTAATAGATTAGGTACCATATTACACAAAATATCCGTACATAGTATTTAAGATACTACGTATATTGACATTGGTGTCGATTCTGAATGATTCTCTGAGCCTGAATATGAATTTGACGGCAGTGTATCCTTGTCATTCTCTATACAAAATGATAGGGGGGGACTGATGTTGGGTTTGGTCTTTGGTTTGGAGCTTTTGGGCTGCCAGAATACCAGCGCTGATACAGTGAGAGAGTATTCTCTTACTGTGTCAGCATAAGCTGAGGCAGGCTGAGCTGAGCTGAGCTGATTAGCCGTCTTAGTTTTATGTTGTTATTTTTTGTTTTTAGGTTAAGTTCCTCTTTTATTTTTTGTTTATATTTATAGTATTTTTATTATGTAAGATGGACACTAAAGGTTTTTTCAAATATATAGAAAGTGCGTTCAATCTTTGAAGGGTTCCCTCGATTTTTAAGATTTCATTTTCAGATTTTGTATTGGTAAATAAGGGACCACCTGCATAACCTTTCAAATGAAATAGAGTTTTCAATCAATTCATGAAAATAATACACACAAAATACATACACGACTAACACAGAAGATCCGTCTTTTTTATTTGAAGTTAATAATTTGTCACATAAATAAAAACCTCTTCAAAATCGGTAAAGTTAGTTGTCAAGCAGATTATAAGTTTGTTCGTTATCTTACTAATATTATAAATGTGAAAGTTTGTATGTTTGTTACTCAATCACGAAAAAACTATTGAACGGATTTTGATAAAAGGTACGCATATATTTTATGACCTGGATTGAGACAAAGTTTACATTTTACCCAGAAACGTGTTAGGTTCCTGAGGGATTTTCAAAAAATTTAAAAAAACGCGGACATTGTCGCGGGTGATCGCTAGTCTATCATAACCTATTGCTCTTCCTCGTAGTCTTTCATAATATTCCTCATTGAGTACAACAATGCAGCATAATATATTTCGGTTACAGTTATCTGTAACATTTCCCAGTAAATATCTATATATATAACACTCAAAGGTGACTGACTGACTGACATAGTGATCTATCAACGCACAGCCCAAACCACTGGACGGATCGGGCTGAAATTTGGCATGCAGGTAGATGTTATGACGTAGGCATCCGCTAAGAAAGGATTTTGATCATTTCTACCCTCAAGGGGATAAAATAGGGAATAAAAGTTTGAATGAAACTTTGTCAATTTTAAACCTATCGGGCTAAGACTTTGCATGCAGGTATAAGAAGAATCATAGATGAATGTCATTGTGTATAATACAAGCCTGAGAACAAAAACTGTAGTCTACACTTCAGCTTTACACCGAAGCGAAGCGAGGGCGGACCGCTAGTCCCTAATATTAAGTCAAAATGATGTGTCCTATACATCAAACTGAAATATAATTAAGCATTTAAAGGAAAAACTGCTTACTTGTACTGATATCCCCTTAATCTGAGTTCCTTGTAAAAGTCTTTGGTGAGCATATGCTTGATGTTGGGCCCTGTGGCTTCGGGCATAGGCGGCAGCACTCGGTAGTCTTGACCCACGTTCTTCTTGGCGTAAATGCGACCGGTGACGATGGACGCTCCGCTCTCTACGATCTATTTAACAATATAGTTGAATATCAAATCAATAAACTCTGGTGATCATGAACAAAATGTTCCTGCAATTAAAAGGTAGCAAGTGGGGACATTAATAGGCTGATGATGATGATGATGATGATGAAGCTGATAAAGTGTAGTACTAAACTGATACTTGACTAAAACTTTTAGCAAATTCATGTTAGCAAATTACAATGTCTTTTATTATAAAATGTTTTATTATATTAAACTAAAGAAAATCTAAATCTAAAGAAAACTTTACAAGGAAACAATGAACTCGGGCAACGTGTCAGGCTGGATTAAAAAATGACAGATTTAATCAATTGCTATTTACAATTCCTAAGCAAAACTTTTCAAATTTTCCATTTTCTTATTGGTCACGTGATAAATATGGAAGCATTTTCTTAAAGAAGCAATCTCGACGGTTTTTACCATATTTCTTTACTTACTTCGAAGTTCCCGCTTCCCTTTTGGATCATCACGATGAACTCCAAGTTCCCATCCTTGGGAATGTTGGTGGCTCTCTGGAAGCGAACGTTCTCGAACACCACTGACACCTCGGTGTACAGCTCTCCCATCATCATACCCAAGGTCTCCCATACCAAGACCAAGTACCCAGTGGCTGGGTAAAGGTTCCTTCCTGTTGACAAAAAATTGTGGTGATACTTGTGATTCCAAATAAAATATTTAATGTGACAAGATTGAAGTATCTCTACCTTATTACCCGGCTGCGCAATGCAAGAGCGCGAAGCGCGACGCGCAGACAGGGTTATGTGTTTAACAGTCTATATATGTATGTTTGTTCCTTTGTGGCACACTAGAGACCAAACGCCTGGACCGATTTTGATGATTCATACATCAATCGATTCGTCTCAATCATGGAAGTGCTACTAAAGATATGATAGTAATCAAAATTCAATATGGGCGAAATTAGGCGCCATATTGTGACGAAGTAAAAAAAATAAGTTGACAAAATATGTCGAGTGGGGTATCACTGTCTAGATAATCAAAAATCATATTTAGGTTCCTAACACCATTTTTCATTTTATATGATTGTTTAGGATCTACAACGCTTTAAAGTTGTATATTAACCACTTACGCTTTTAATTTCAATCTTACGTTTGTATGGATCTTTGTTACTCTTTCACCTCAAAAATACTGAATGGATTTTAATGAAACCTAACAGTAATATAGCTCATATATGATAATTACATATATATAATAATTTATGTAGTTATTGAGTGAATTGGCCAATATATAACAATAAGTGTCACATAAGACGGAAAAAAAAATCCCATCTGCGAGCCATTTTGGCCTGCACTGCAAAAACAATAAAAGTTACATGAATGTAATGTAGAGTGAAAATGTATCTCTTAAATAGTTCTAAAAAAAAGTCCGTGACACCATGTATCTATTTTTAATGTGTAAGTCATTACCGCTAAAATAGTGAATCAAAACTAAAATATTATTTGATATCTATTTCCAAAATGCACATTTTGTATCAACAAATATTTTTTTATCAAAACATATACTTTTATCGCTTTTGATATTTAAAGACGATAAACTTTGCTTTTTACACTATGTCATTTCGACAAATATTTAAAAAGTTACAACGATGAATAAGTGATAGCGCGGTGTACTATGTAGAAGAAAACAAATGGGCTATTCGCAGTATCTGATCCTATACGAAGTACTAACAATAAAACTCTGATACAGTTCAGATATCAGCCCACCACAGTCTGCAACATTGTACCATTGCTTCATGTAAGTTTTATTTAGATTGTGGTATGAGAAAATAAAAATTTATTTATTATTTATTACTGAATTATTACTGAATTATTTAATGATGAAAAATATATTATCATAATAGGTATTTATGATTATTGAATTTCAATGAAAAACTCTGAATTTTACTGTTTTTCATTTTTTTAACGATATTACTTAATGTTACAAAAAAGGTTTACTTAATGTAATGACAAATAACCCATTTTTCGCTAGTAAGTACATACTTATTGGAATCCCTGTATTTATTAATCAGCTCGCGATAATATTGGTTTTGTAATAATTCTGTAAAATTCAAAGTAAATAATGTAGATTTTTATAGGTAAATCACCCCTTTCATCACCCTACGCCTATAAGTATTGCGATGTTGTAGCTAAGAACCAAGTTCCCATCTACTTCTATATGGGAATTCATTATATTCGATTTAGCTATTAGGGCACGGAAGCGCAACAAACAAACTCACTTTCGCATCTATAATATTATATTATACTTACTAGTGATCCACCCGAGCATTGTACGGGCGAAATTTATTTATCGGGATAAAATATAGCCTATGTCACTCGGACAAAATGTATTTAAATAAAGAAAAATATAATAATAAATAATGTAGCTACCTTATGATGAATTAATATTTGAAACCGGTTCAGTAGTTTGACAGATTATTTGTTACAAACATACAAATCTTGCCTCTTTATAATATTAGTATAGATAGTTAGGATAAGATAAGTATTTAATTGATGAAAAAGATTTAAAAATAAAGTAAGTAATAGGTTTATTTGATTATATTTGTAAAAGTTGCTTAGCATTTGTGCTTAACAGTGATACGTTTTTCGGTATTTTTTTAAACAAAAAAAAATTTGGAAAATAATTGCCATGATTGCACTACTGGGAGTATTCTTCATTCGAGCTTTACACTGCCAATAAAAAGGGTCGATCACAAAGTCTTTGACCTGTTAAATGTGAACGCTTTAAAAGAAAACTACAAAGAGAACTATAAATTGATAAAAATGAGATTGCTATGGTGTTCTACCTAACGTTATGAAAATTTTATTATGCGCCTTTAGTTTAATCAAATATTATAAACTTTGCTTTGGTGATTGCATAATTATTTAATTTAGTGATCTAAGGCAGTTCCCACCATTGTCCAAAACAACAAACGGCAATTACTGCTTTCTTCAACCTGCGACATAAACGTCATTGATTGGTATTGTATATAGGGTGATTAAAAACATTTGAAGTTAACTTCTGGCATCTACATATTGGGTTTCTGTGAATTATGTAGGTATATCAAATTATGAGACTAGGGACTGACACTGCATTTGTGTATATCACAATCTTAGACGTCCGGCATTGACATGACAATGCAGCCACTGCCAATTTTAAATAGTCGACGAATAAAAGTTAGTAGTAGTAGTATATTTACTGCTAAACTATTAAAAAAAACATAAACAAAAGATGACTTTTTGAGTAAGTGCTAGTTTACTATAAAATTTACATACATTAGAGATATTTATGTAACGACTTGATTTAACTTCAACATTTTTGCGAAAATTGAGGCCCATCTGTAGCCTTGACCCCGCTGGTAAAGTCTCTATATAGAGAAGATAATGTCTAAAAGATTGATTTATTAAGACATATGTCTTAATAAATCAATCTTTTAGACGGACGCAAGGTACTTAATAATTCCCGCGATATTAATTCCCTTACTGAAGTAACAAGACTACGGTATATACCGTCTTAAAATACTAACTGACTAAAAAGTGTGAAATAAAAAAGGTAAATTTAAAAAATCATAAAACCCGACTGCTTAATTATACTTCAAATAAAAACTGAAAAGAAAAAAACAAGTCCAGTAGTCTATAATTCTGTTAATAAGGAACAAAGCTACTTTAACAGTCGGGACCCACTGTTGAAAAATATTATGTATTCTTGAATATCTAATGGGTCCCGACTGTTAAAGTAGCTTTGTTCCTTATTAACAGAATTATAGACTACTGGACTTGTTTTTTTCTTTTCAGTTTTTATTTGAAGTATAATTAAGCAGTCGGGTTTTTTGATTTTTTAAATTTACCTTTTTTTGTTTTAGGTTTTCACGCACATCACTCATTAAATAAAACTAGTTTTAAAGGGTTAATGCACGAAACTTTATTTACTTATTGACGTTTCGGAGCCTTTTCAGGTCTGCATCGTCAGAATACTGATTTTTTATTTAATTTTGTCGAGCTACCTTCGAAAGACTAAGAAAAAATCAGTATACTGACGATACAGACCTGAAAAGGCTCCGAAACGTCAATAAATAAATAAAGTTTCGTGCATTAACCCTTTAAGACTAGTTTTATTTATATCTCCACCTTTATTTGAGAGCGGACTCATTATGGGCTACATTTGACTAGAAACGACGATGTAAATGCAAGTGCTTCTAAAAGGGAAAGCTGAACGGAGTTTCGTAAGTGAAATGCAAAACTTATATAATTTATTCCGTTTTAATTCTCCTTGTCAGCAACATTAGTATTTTGCTTCTTCTGATAATATGAAGCCAACTGCGCGCAAGCGTAAACCTCACAATCACTAGCATATTGACTGACATGGTGTTTTTATAATCAGATAGATAGATAAATCATTTATTCCCATCAGTACAGCACACAAATTCAAGTAAACAAATAGAACAATTAATTACTAGGTATGTAACTGTGTGCCGCGACGACAGAAAAAGGCAAAAACTCCGCGATACCTTTGCTCTGAGAGCAAAGCACTAGTTTTCAGTTCTGCCTAAAGCGCGTAACGTGAAACGACACTGACGTGACGTGATTAATTTATTAAGAGAATTAAATTAGATTATATTATTATTAAATTAAAAAGTTTATTAAATTATTATTGTTAAATTATTATAATATACATATAACTATATGTATGTATTATTATCATTCAGCAAAAAATATAAATTATTACTGTTATTATTACTTTTTTTAGTAAGTATTTAGATTAATGTTGAATTTTTGAATTAATATTTACCCATCAGCATTTAACACATACAAATTGTGACACACCTATTAGAAAGAGGCAGAAACCGCTACTACCATAAGACCGCATTTGGTTATTCCTAACCTTTGCATTTCTAGCAATATTAATTTTAAATGTTTTTTTAATCAATGTTTATTTGCAACATTTATATCAAATTTTTAATGAAATATAATAGTATCTAGCTCACTTAACCGAAAGGCGACAACTTGTTATTTGAAAATAACGCTTGTACAGCAGACAATATATCTTATTAAGAATAAGTCATACGGAACGGCCATAAATCACAACGTACTTACTTACTAAGAGCTCACGTCCTCGCCGTATTAAGTCGCAAACAAACGCTGAATTAGATCATGGCGAATTTTCTTTACATGTTCTTATAATTATTATACTGAACTAAAAGATTGGAGTGAAATCCGTTTGTTTCTCGTCCAATCCCCGATTTTTGAAATGAAAACTTCTTTAGCGGCGTTGTACACTTTTTTTTGTATGGGTAAAAAATGTTAAACTCGCGTCAGGTTAAACACGTGGGCTGATCGCATCATGAGACACAATGAAATTGGAAAGGTTGTTGACTTTAACCTTTAAATAAACATAGTAATATTTTATTTAATCGTATTATAATAATAAGTCTCTATCTAGGACGTCCACGTGGCAGCTTTATTGCGAAGAAAATGCATTTTTTTTACAATAGATGTCGCTAGGTGCGCTAAAATGTGATTCATGCAAGTTGATTGCTTTATAATAGATGTCACTAAGTGCGCTTAAACGTGATTCATGTAAGTTGATTTTTCGAAGTTTTTTTGTGTAGTTTTTTTTTGAAGATAAGCTTTTTGATGTAATATAAATTGTCATGTTTGTGTACGATAGCGCATTAAATAAATATTCATCATCATCATCATCATCAGCCTCTTTATGTCCCCACTGCTGGGGCACAGGCCAACCCTATGGATGGAATAGGGAGAATGGGCCATGACCCACCACGCGGGCCCAGTGCGGATTGGAGGGGTTCTAACGATTGCAGATGCAACCGGGAACAACGGCTTAACGTGCCTTCCGAAGCACGGAGGAACTCGAGATAGAAATTTTTGGTCACCCATCCAATGACCGACCAATGCGAAAGTTGCTTAACTACAACGATCGCAGCCGAACGCGCTAACCACCTGCGCCATCGAGCTCCTCAATAAATATTGTATTCTACTACATACATCATAGTTCTTTTATACTGATAATTAAAGCAATTCGTGCAAAATTATAACCTAACCATTCCAAAATATCAAAAATGCACAACGTTAATATTCAAGTTTTCACTTCCGCCGGCACTCCCGGAGTGCAACCCGTCGTTTTTTTATTTTATTATAAGGATGCTAACATTATACCTCTTATGTGAAAAAGAAGGTACGGTAGAGATTATTCGCATATAATTTGATTTTAATGAATGAAATAAGTAGAAAGATGCTTATTTACCTTTATTTTATGAAAAAGAAAAGAATGATCATTAACTCACCATCAACCACGTGGCCTGCCATGTATTCGCTGTCCTCGTCGACAATGGACATCCTCACCGTCCTCTCACCAGATTTCATCTTCTCTTGAGCTCTGTATGACGTCACATACCTAAAGGAACGAACATTCAGCATCATCAGTTCGGACTTATTGCATAGTATATTTAACATAACTTTTTGCGAGTTAAACATTTTGCAATACAATGACATACAATACAATTCATTGAACATCGCGCATCATATACACACATACGAGTATAAGGAGTCATGACGGATTTTGCGCTCGAATTGCAACATCCGTCTAGAGAAGTACCTAAATGGAACGCTCTGCCCACTCACGTGTTCCCTGTTTCTTACAAGCTAGGATCCTTTAAAAGAGGCGTGAAGAAGCAATATGCTGGCTCGCATCAGGTGGGGCGGAGACATTTGTCGGACCTATCTATAAAAAAAAGTGAAAATAACGTCCACATTAAAAGAAACCACAGTGGATTTACAGTATTTGTGGGTGGTATTGTGTTTATATCGCCGCACACGAGCCACACGCCACAGCCACAAACGCCGCCACGAGAAGCTAGAAGCGGCTACTGAAGTGGCTGAAGCGCGCGACAGCGGCCCACTAAGGTAAGGGAGAGAGGGGTGGGGAATCGCACGAGTGACGTGTGGCGGCGTTTTGTATCGGCGCATTAAGTGGCCGGTGCGGGCCACAAGAAGCGAGCAACAACGATGTGCAGCGTGGCGGCCACCGGCGTACCGTGTGTGGCGAGTCCATATAAAATGTATGAAAACTACAAGAAATATGCCGGTGGTGGCGTTTTGTGGTTGTGGTCGGTGGCCCGTGTGCGGCTAGTGTCGCCGCTGTGGAGGTTACTTCCTCGCTCTAATTAAGACGGCGTTCTAATTCGAGCGGAATTCTGCTATGCCCTACCTCTCTTTAGCTTTTCTGACTTCGGTTATGGTTCGTTCATTTCCCTTATGAACGGTGTTTTAAGTTTTTCATGTTTATTTTTATTTATTTTATGAGGACCACCAGAGAAAGTTACATTAAACCTTATTTTTAGATATAACAGTAGTGATACATACAAAATGCAAAATTCTCTTGAAGGTAGCCACATCATGCTTAAGAGACAGTACAAACGGACAGGATTTTAATTAAAAAACAAATAGAAAGACAAACTGAAACAACATATGAGTAGTAATCAAATTGATGAAGTATAAGTGTCGCCGCACACGGGCCACCGACGACAACCACATAACGCCGCCACCGGCATATTTCTTGTAGTTTTCATAAATTTATATGGACTCGCCACACACGGTACGCCGGTGGCCGCCGCACGCTACAAATCGTCGTTGCTCACTTCTTGTGGCCCGCACCGGCCACTTAATGCGCCGATACAAAACGCCGCCACGTGTCACTCGCGCGATTCCCCACCCCTCTCTCCCTTACCTTAGTCGGCCGCTGTCGCGCGCTTCAGCCACTTTAGTAGCCGCTTCTAGCTTCTCGTGGCGGCGTTTGTGACTGTGGCGTCTGGCCCGTGTGCGGCGACACTTAGTGGCACCTTTGATCTTTTAATCCATCCATCATGTAAAAAGTTTCTTAGTCAAGTAAATGCTTAAAGTTTTTCAACATCTGAACAAGGTTATTCGTATAGGTAAAATATTTGCTTAGTTCGAACTCCGGATCCTGAATGGAAGTAGATATATGAGGCTCGACTTATTGTTTTACTGTGACAAGTTTCATACGATTGTGATTTGTTATAGTTTGTGAGGTAAGACCATGCTGCTAATATTGAGACGCGAATGTTATTTAGGGTCCAAGTTTTCTTGCGAGTAATATATAGCGAGGTAGTTTAGGACATGCTGTCTGACAACAGATTGGAACTCTGACGCAAAATAGGTAGCTCGCCTGTCAGTAACAATATTGAGGCTACATTTTGGTGAGAGTGCTCAAGTGCTGCAGGACCTTGTACTTTCATCTCCATTCCACCATTAAAAGAAGAGGAATGCTTTATGAATAGATAAATAAACATTTCCAACCCTCACACCAATTAGCCTAGCCCCAAAGTAAGCACTGTAAGGCTTGTGTTATGGGATACTAGGGTAACGGATAGAATACATAGATATAAGTATCTTAATATATAAAATTCTCGTGTCACGGTGTGCGTAATTGAACTCCTCCGATTAGACCGATTCTCGTAAAATTTTATATGCATATTCAGTAGGTCTGAGAATCGGACAACATCTATTTTTCATCCCCCTAAATGTTATGGGTTAATTTTTTTTTGACAATTTTTTTTGTTTTTTTTTTATGATACATCATACAAAAATACATGCAACTCTAAATTTTCACCCTTCCACCACCCATATTTTTATCTCGATACGAAGTTCGCTGGCTCAGCTAATATTTAGGTATATAGAAATACATATTACACATCCCTGACTGGAGTACAAATGTTCGTATTCATCACACAAACATCTGCCCCCACCGGGATTCGAACCCGGGACCTCTCGACATCATGAAGCCCGGCGAACAAACCACTCGCCAACGGAGGTCGTCAAATGTCTTAAGTAGCAACTTATGTTCTCCCAGACCGTTATTACTTGGTTCTTTAAGACGAGAGTTAACTATAATTTGCTTGTCTGTGTGTGCGTGTATGCTCTATCTTATTGTCCAATCTCTTTTTCCACAAAATAAAATCAGATACAAAAATTTTAAAATTTCTTTTGAAGCACAGAGGAGCTCGAGATATTAAGCTTTGGTCAACCATCCTATGACCGGCCATTGCGAGAGTTATTTAACTTCCACGATTTGAAAAGTTTTAGAAAACGATCTCACGTTATTTATTATACAAGAGTGGAAAGTTCCTTTTTAACCGCGTGCTCGATTTGGATGACCGAGCAAGCGAAGGATTCTAAAGTTGAATCACGAGCGCAGCGAGTGATTCTAAATTAGAATCCTGAGCGTCAGCGAGGGAAACAAACGAGCACAAGGTGAAAAATCTTTCCACTCGAGTGCAATACGTAACTTTTCATCCCACCTCAGCGAGGAAATGACAAAATGAAAAAGAAAACAATTTATAATGACAAAATATTTAAGCAATAAAACGTGAAAAACTAGAATGGCGCGAAGCACGCAAATAAAACAAAGAAACCAAGAAGGTTCCAAATTTAAATTTTTTCACAATTTAAAAAGTTCTAATCATAAATTTGGCACCATAGAGGTTACATTAAATAGGTTTAATGACGTTTTGAATTTACAATTATATTGAGTACTCATTATATGTGATGTTCTAAATTCAAATCTACTTTGCCGCTCAAGCGAATAAAATAGAATTTTCCAGCCAGATTTCGAAGCGCAAAATTACACTTTCCGAGGTGGTGGGATGAAATAGTTATTTATTATACAAGAGTGGAAAGTTCCTTTTTAACCGCGTGCTCGATTTGGATGACCGAGCAAGCGAAGGATTCTAAAGTTGAATCACGAGCGCAGCGAGTGATTCTAAATTAGAATCCTGAGCGTCAGCGAGGGAAACAAACGAGCACAAGGTGAAAAATCTTTCCACTCGAGTGCAATACGTAACTTTTCATCCCACCTCAGCGAGGAAATGACAAAATGAAAAAGAAAACAATTTATAATGACAAAATATTTAAGCAATAAAACGTGAAAAACTAGAATGGCGCGAAGCACGCAAATAAAACAAAGAAACCAAGAAGGTTCCAAATTTAAATTTTTTCACAATTTAAAAAGTTCTAATCATAAATTTGGCACCATAGAGGTTACATTAAATAGGTTTAATGACGTTTTGAATTTACAATTATATTGAGTACTCATTATATGTGATGTTCTAAATTCAAATCTACTTTGCCGCTCAAGCGAATAAAATAGAATTTTCCAGCCAGATTTCGAAGCGCAAAATTACACTTTCCGAGGTGGTGGGATGAAAACTCTATTTTCAAGTTGCCGCGAAAAACGTATCTCTGGACAATATGGCGTCTCACTGGTGTGTGACGTCACACGACTGTCATTAAAACGTCAAACCATACAATCAAGGTGTTATATAAAGTCTTTGATCAAATGTCACTTTAACCGGAAGTTTACTTGCGTGTGACGTCATTTTAGCCTCCACCAATCCCTAGCGTTTTGGGTCACGGGACAATAGACAAGAAAACTATTATCTTTTTCGTGGGTTTTTAGTAAAATTATGAATATTTTTTCTGTAATAATAGTAAATGCTCCTGTCAATATTCATTCTAAATACAGATGCTAACAATTGGCACTTCATTTTTAATACTGTCAAACACCCTTTTGTAGATTGAATGCAATAAACACTGCGGCATCGAGCTCCTTGTATCACCATCCCCTCAATTACATTAATAATGGAAGCTTATTACTAATTCGTTATAAGACATTATTGGCTTATCTGTGTAATTATCTTTGACCTCTGGTTGAGTATTCAATAGGTAGGAACTTAATTAACTATCCGTGCAAGAATATGATCAGAAATATAATATCAGTGATGTCCAAATTATTAATAAATATCGCAAAGGAAGCTGCAGATTCATAAATAATATTGATTGCCGTCTCTGAGTGACTCCGTTAGTAACTTCACGCAATGCAACGGAGCAATTAATTAGCTAGCCATCACGAGACACTTTGTTTGATTTTCTAATAGATGGCGTTGCTTTTAAGGCTGGATCGCGGTTAACAAATTCCGGGGTTATTATGTACCAACTCGGCTTTCTTGCAACTTTAGTTTAGCCTTTAGCAATAGTGATAACTAAATAAGTTTTTTTGACGTGACAACGTCTTAAATTAGGTTGCGGCTGGGAGTCACTTATGAAAAAGTGTAACGCTCGGTAACGTTACGATGAGTCTCTCGTGTTAAGTTTAAGTTTACATGTACAATGTTTTAGTAAACAAAATATATTTCTATAGTTAAAATTTGTGCAATTCTTATTTTCATTCAATTCCTTGTTCCTATTGTGCAATTTAATTATATTCATATCAATAAATATTCTACCGAGAAAAAGACGTTGTCACGTAAAATCTTCGCCCGTAAAACCGACTTTACAGGCAACCATTTTTTTGTAAAACTTTTCTTAAGGTTTAAACATCTAGCAGTTAAATGCTTAAAAATAGAATAAAAACATAACTACTCATATAATTGCTATTTTTTCTTTCAAATGTTTAATACTTGAAAAAGTATTCATTTGACATTATGGGTTACCTACAATGCGAAGAGATGGCGCTGCCTTACAGCTTAAGGCTAGGAAAATTTCGACACGGCCATCAGGGCCGTGGTAGCATAATTGGTCAGTACATTCGCCCGGATTGCGAAGGTGCGGGTTGGAGTCCCGTCCGCTGCCTGGTCCGCGTGGATTTTTTTTTCTAGTTAAACTTTTGTCTAGATTTAAATAGGTTTAATAAATTTTCAGGTATATTTTTAGTATCACAATAGTTTTTGTAGAGCTGACTGAGAGAACTACTTGCTTTTAATTATCAGTTCTAAATAATATCATCATTAAATTAAAGTTCCCAGAAAAGGAATAAATTGTAGAGTTTTTTTTTCATGTTTAAGAATTGATAGAAACTTAAAGTGTTAATAATACATCTACATAGTGATTTAATTTATGGCAGGTGGACTAATCTCCCCCGAGAAGGGTTCCCCCCCGAGAAGGGCTCTCCCCTGAGAAGGGCTCCCCTGGTGGAAGCAGGGGAGCAAAGGCTGCGGGTCCTCAGATGCGATACTCGATCCTGAGGCCCCGTACAATACCTGATGGCGGCCATCGCTGGGGTTTTACTCCCCCTTCTGGGGAGGAGAGCCCCACATAACCACCATGTGGTATGCAATTTCATGCGTTTCCCCAGCTTATCAAAAAAAAGGTGGACTAATCTAATCTAGTGTTTTGTTTAGTTGACACGGTAATTTTTTAGTGTTCAAGTACGGAAAGTAGAGAAAAACGACCGATGTAATTATGTTCTTGGGCTTAGAATGGCCTCTTAAGCTGTCCCTTTGTCATTCGCTCCCAGGAACCAGAGTTTTCAGGCAAAGATTTTAAGAATATAGAAATGCTTTTACAAAACTTAACACAAAACTTTATCACAGAAGTGCTCAACTTGCAAACATATAAGAAGTTTTCAAACAACAAAATGACAGAAACGGCTAACTCCAAATTGAGGCAAAAGCCAGCGAGAAGACAATGAGACGTCATTATTTAGCCAAGCGAGACAGACACAGATACTTTTGGCGGGAACTTAGTTGGACCTTGAAAAATGTCTTGCGAACGGCGCGGTGTATCGGCGATTTGTCTGTGGCGGGTAGACGGATAGCGGCCGATTAATACGCGCCGCCGGACGGATATTGGGGACGAAAGTTCCAGAAAGTTTCGGTACTAGGCCTCTTTGAGTAGGGTACCATTGCTTTTATGGATATAAACGTCTTGGCTGGAATAAGTATTGTATCGGGAAAGAAGTAACACAGGGAAGACAAATTAACGATGTTGATCCTTTTTTTAAATTTGAGCTTTTCAAGAAATGTTTGTTTTGATAACTATTCTTCCTTAGTAAACGATGTTCATCCCCGTCTTTGAACCTATAAACAGAATAGGCTATTTGACAAGTTTTAGAAAACGATCTCACGTTATTGAATAATGTTTATGGAGTCCGTATAAAGTGGATATTCATCATTCCGTTGTGTATTTCTGTAAAAATAACCAAATCAAAAACTCCATTTTCAATTTGCCGCGACAACGTTTCTCTGGACAATATGGCGTCTTACTAGTGTGTGACGCCACACGACTGTTATTAAAACGTTAAACGATACAATGTAATGTCACTTTAACCGGAAGTTTACTTGCGTGTGACGTCATTTTAGGCTCCGCCAATCCCAAGCGTTTTGGGTCACGTGACAAAAGATAAGAAAACTATTATCTTTTCGTGGGGTTTTAGTAAAATTATGAATATTTTTTTTTTAAAATAGAAAAAACCCCTGCCAATATTCAATCTAAACTCAGATGCTAACAATTGGCACTTTATTTTTAATACTGTCAAATACCCTATTGTATTCCATAATAGAGGTTTCGATTAACCAGAATTTATGAATATTAACAATTCTTTATAGCTCTTTTGTGTTGCCCTAGCAATTACCTCATTTATGACCGCTTCCAGTTGTTTTTTCTATGAAATTGCTTTACCCGCAGTTCCGAACTTTTTATTAACTCTGAAAGGGTTCGCAATATTGGTATTGTCTCGAACGCAAGCTGGAGTTTGATTATTACAAGACAAATAAAAAGGCCATTCTCTCGCTACGAGAATTGACTGAGATTCGGAAATTGTTTCCAATTTCTTGTACGAAGTCGTCAAAGACATTAAGAGGGGTAAACTTTAACGGAGGTGGTGATTGATGCGTTTGTAACTGGTAACATAATTTAATCATTTGTGTGGTTGTACGTTTTTTACGTTTAATGTATGTATTTGGCGTTATATAATAATTGATTACCTCGGTTACGGGTAGTACAGCACGTTAAATGGACAATAATGCTGTTTAAAATTAGGTTTCATTTAACTTTTTATCAAAAAATAATGGTTAAAGAATTTTATTTCTCAAAAAGAATAATACAATTCACTTACTGAGAAAAATGAAGTTTTAACTTAATGCATGTAACACTTGAGCGTACACATCTTAATATATATAAATCTCGTGTCACAATGTTTGTCCTCAATGGACTCCTAAACCACTGAACCGATTATAATAAAATTCGCACACCATGTGCAGTTCGATCCAACTTGAGAGATAGGATAGTTTAAATCTCAAATTATAGTCGCAATTTTAATTTATTGCAAATTATTACTTTTGGGCGGTACGAAGTTCGCCGAGTCAGCTAGTATAATAATAAAATCAACGTGGGTAGATCGATAGAAAAATAGCTCCTGGCACCACAAATTATTATGTCCTTATAGGAACATAGGAAAAGATTTTTTTTTTATGTTATACACAAAAAGCAATAGGGACAGCCTACGTATAAAACTTTTGCTTTAGTTAGTCGTCTTGGTCGTAAGTAGAAATACGAGAAAGGCAAAAGTTAAACAAATAGATAAATGCTTCGGTCAACTAATCGTCATCATCATCAGCCTATTAATGTCTCCACTGCTGGGGCGCAGGCCTTCCCTATGGATGGAATAGGGAGATTGGGCCATGACCCACCACGCGGGCCCAGTGCGGATTGGTGGGTGCTAACGACTGCAGACGCAACCGGGACCAATGGCTTAACGTGCCTTCTGAAGCACGGAGGAGCTCAAGATAGTAAATTTTTGGTCACCTATTCAATGACCGACCACTGCGAAAGTTGCTTAACTTCAACGATCGCAGCCGAACGCGCTAACCAGTTGCGCCATCGAGCTCCTCAACTAATAAATCAATGTTAATATGCTGAAAGAGATTTGTGTAACAGCTAAGTTTCGAGAAACACTGAAATCAACATTGAAAATTGTATTAAGAATTTTAGATTATTACTAGCTGCCACAGCGAACTTCGTACCGCCATAAAAATAGGGGCTGGTGGTAGAGGGTGAAAATTTAGGGTTGCATGTATATTTTAATGTCACATAATAAAAAATGGTCCAAAAATTAAAATGTTAGGAGTAGACAACCCTTATCACTTAGGGGTATGAAAAATAGATAGTAGCCGATTCTCACACCTTCTGAATATGCATATAAAATTTCATAAAAATCGGTCAAGCCGTTTCGGAGGAGTATGGTAACTAACATTGTGACACGAGAATTTTATATATTTACTAGCTGACCCAGCGAACTTCGTACCGCCCTAAAAAAATAGGGGTTGTCCAGCGGACAAAATTGTGAATCTAAACCATTCTCAGACCCCCTTGAACACACACAAAAAATTTCATCAAAATAGGTCCAGTCGTTTAAGAGAAGTTCAGTGACATACACACTCACAGAAGAATTATATATATAAAGATAAGATGAAGGAAACAAAGATCCTCGGAACATAATCATCTGTTGAACACACAATGTTATAAAGAAACATTTTCATCATCATCATCATCATCATCATCAGCCTTTTAATAACCTCTTTGCTGTTCATGGCCCAATTTTTCTATTCCATCCATTGGGACAGGACCACGTGAGCTCAGTATGGATTGGTGGTTGCTAACGTCTGCAGACGCTGCCAAAGGTTTAACGTACCTTCCGAAAGACGGAGCAGCTAAATATAACAAATCATCATCTATATTATATATATATATATATATATATAAAACTCAAAGGTGACTGACTGACATAGTGATCTATCAACGCACAGCCCAAACCACTGGACGGATCGGGCTGAAATTTGGCATGCAGGTAGACGTTATGACGTAGGCATCCGCTAAGAAAGGATTTTGATCAATTCTACCCCCAAGGGGATAAAAAAGGGAATGAAAGTTTGTATGAAGCTTTGTCAGTGTTAAACCGATCGGGCTGAGACTTTGCATGCAAGTATAAGAAGAATCATAGATGAATGACATTGTGTATAATACAAGCCTGAGAACAAAAACTGTAGTTTACACTTCAGCTCTACACCGAAGCGAAGCGAGGGCGGGCCGCTAGTATTACATATAAGTAAAACTCACCAATCTTCGCTGTGTTCCCATTCTACCAAATGCGAGATCATGGGAGTGCTATTCGATACAGGGAACGGCACCTGCGGGTAGATGTTCGCTAGATGCGGGTTCAATCCTGCTTCGTACAACCTGAAATAATCCACATCATAAGTCAAGGATATTATAAAAAGGAAAAGTTTTTCCCTGATATTTTAGCTTTGCGTCGTAAAAGAAAGGAAAATATTTATTAGGAAAATTTAATTTGTTTCAAGTATGAGGCTGGAGTTTGATCCAGAAACGAATTCGACGAATTCTTCCTAGTAATGTTTTCTTTAGTTTAAGTAAAATGCTTATTAAATTAATCACAAATATTATATTATTATCTATGAACTTCATGAGATTGTAATTTTGTGTACTTTTTTGTCAGCAGAGGCAATGTTTATTTTCCAGAGCTTTACAAGATGGGATTAGGATGAAAAGGCTGGTTAGAGTGTAGAATAGCTTTACTCCATTAGCTATTTGACAACTGTACCTCTAGAACCATTATCGAATTCGAATAGTTTGCAAACCGAAATGTCAATGTCAAAATTTTAATGGAAACTTGAACAGCATCGGCACAGAGTACGTAACGAGAACTGAAAATCAGTGCACATGACAATGACATTTTGGACTCGCAAACGATACGAATTCGATATTGGTTCGTGCTAGGGGTACTGGTCTTAAGACGTTAATGCAACTCAAAAAAAAAACCGAGACTAAAGCCATTTAATGCAGTTACTGCCCGAGAGCTTAAATAATTGCTGTTCTACTGAGTAGGACGTAGATGACGTCAGGAGATCGGAAGAGCAATCTTGTTTGGAATAGCATTCTTGTGGGCCTGTCAGGACCTTGGGAGAGTCCCACATATCTTACTTTCTGATGCCTTATTTCTTACTGTAATAACATTATATTTAGAGTGGAATGGCGAATAAATGATTTTTGATTTGATTTAATTTAAAGAGGACATGATTGCTGTTCCTATTAATCTTCTATATGTATATCACGGATATTGACGAGTTCAGCTTATGGCATAATAGCTGTGCCCCGCGGTGTTCTTCTTAGTGGGGTACTCTTGTCAGAGTGGTCGTGGTTGCACTGACGAGGTACATGGTGGGGTGTTCTTTGGGTCGCTATCAATTCCGAGGATAGCTCTTCTGGCGATGTGCTTCCATTTCTGATGGTTCGAGGCGTCTCAGTAGCCTTTGTGATGGCGTCTATCCAGCGCAGCGGGTTGGTGATCGACCGCGTGCTCTCTTGCCTTCCACCTGGCCTTGAATCACCAGCCTTTCCAGCCCCGCGGTTTACCCACGGGATATTTTCCCGCAGTAAAACGTAGCCTATGTGTTAAACCAGGGTATCAGCTAACTCCATACCAAATTTGATTAAAATCGCTCCAGCCGTTTAGATGTGAAGAAGTAACAAACATACACACTCGCAAACTTTAGCATCATCAATATATCTTTATTTAAATTGTATGTATAGTACAACACCATTGAATCGTCCAATCATTTTTTCCCTACATATTTTTTAGCTGCGGAGAAAAACGAGCGAAAAAAACTCCACAACATTAAAAGCATAATGTAACAACATTTAATCATTGTTATTACAACGTCAATACAATCAAGATTTATTTGATATAGGAAACCTGTTGGAATGATTGGAACAGTTCAAACCCAAGCATTTTTGTCTGTAATATAATCAGACACTTTGTAATAAGCTTTTTTGATAAGTGCTTTTTATACTATCTTTGAATTTGCTTAACTCTTGGATATTACTTGGGACTTTATTGTTTAAGCGAACACAAAGACCTTTAAATGAATTATTGATTTTGTGAAGCCTAGAAGCAGGTATAGTAAGTTTATTTTTGTTTCTGTTTTTAAGAACATCACTGTTTTTAAGAAACAAATTAATATTTTTTCTTACTATTAATATTAGTGTGATGGTCTGTGTTTGTGTGTGTCTGTGTATGGAAAAGCGAACACTATTCTTTAACACTCACTTTCCGATAGCGTTGAAAACCACTTGGATGTTGTCCTTGCTATTTTTGTGGGTGAGAGGTATATTGATGACGTCCTTCTTCAGCGAACGCCTAAGAATGGCCTGCAGCAGTCCGTGTGGTGCGATCTCTATCGTGATAGCGTTCTGATGGATCAGTCGAGAAGTCTCTTCGAATAGCACTGGACTCTGTTATAAAGGAAAGAAAAAAATGTAGTTGACCTTATTTGAAATCCTTAAAGAACACACAATATGTTTAAAGGGACTTATTAGACTTGCAACGAATATTCGGTTACTATTCGGTATTCGGCCTATTCGGCTGCTTTTATTATATTCGGCCGAATACCGAGTATCTACATATTATTCGGCCGAATACCGAATACTTAAATAATATATTTTGTCATAGAGAAATAATTGGTAAAATGAAAAATTAAAATCGATTGATTACGTATATATTCATATTTTCATTGCTGTTATATAATCATTTAAGTAGTCATTGGTACATAACACAGGTACATAATCATCTTCTGAATTGGAAAAATGGAGGATTCTATGTATTTGAATTATTGTGGTAATCAAAATTTAGAAGGGTAAGGTTCTCATTTCTTTTATAATCATTTATTAAGTAGTCATTGGTACATAAAACAGGTACATAATTTAATAATTTTCTGTTTAAAACAAGTTAACAGTTTTTAATTCATTCAGTCATGTGAAGAATGGTTACATAATAGCAATAATTTCAAGTTTACGCGCCGTATTTGGCCATATATCAAAATTTGGTTTTGTCATTTAGCCGCATTTTAGCTTGAGGACGGCAGATTAGAACAAAACAAAGGAGCGCGAAACAATCAAGTCTGTACAAGTTTTTGGCGCTAAAATCCAACCAAATACTTTTGCCTAATATTCGGCTATTCGGTCAGGGGCCTCACCGAATATGCGGTATTCGGTATACTGCCGAATATACTATTCGTTGCAAGTCTAGTACTTATACAATATGTAAGGGAAAACTCAGGAATCTGCTACGGTATTAGCTGATGTGACATTGTGTCGTACCAGCGCTGATATTCTGGCAGGGCCTGCTTTGAGTTACATACACGCTTTTCGTACCACTTGTTCAAAAAAGTGACATTCTATACCACAAAAAGCGAACATAAAAATAGTCATTTTTAATCTGTTAAAAACAGGGAAAGAAAATTGTACTGAATTGCATTCATCCTCTAGGGGGAGAATGTGATTTAAATTTGGAATACTTACCGAAATTCATACTGAACTACATCTGTGTTTACACCATAGAGTTTGTATATAAAGTATTAAGCCGCGTATCGCTAGAGGCAGCCTCGGGTCGAGCGGCTGCCTCACTCCGAGGCTGCGCAAGTGGAGACGCTGCCTCAACCTGAGGCACGCCGCGACGCGAGGCAAATTCGTTGCCGCGAGCCGAGCCATATTTTTTCGGTTTCTGTGCCGTGCTCAAAGGCGCCTCAGTCCGAGCCGTGTGTTTAATGGAGACGTTTTGGCTTTTAACTGCGCAGTGCGCCGCCGGCGGATCAAGCTGAGGCGACACGCCTCGAGCTGATCCGTAGCCGTTGCCTCAGAGCGAGCAGCCTCAAACTGAGGCTATTTGCTTCAAGTCGAGGCCGCTCGACGCGAGCCTGCCTCTAGTGGATACGCGGCTTTATACGTCTTTTTGAAAAATGAATACGCATTTATTGTGCAGTTATGATTAATAAATAAAATTACGAAAACCGACGAGGCCGTATTTAATTGGACCAATGTTTCGAATATTAAATTTTACTTTTAATTGTCATTATTTTTAATAAATGCTTAACTCATATTATTATTGTGTTAATTTTTTCGCAAATGGTACGAAAGGTAGAGTATTTTCCTGGGTGATAAAGCTGTCTTAGTCTTGGGTGAACTTAAATCCCTCGCTACACTCAGGACTCGCCTTAAATACGCTCGGGAGTAAACCTCGAGTCCTTCGTTACGCTCGCGATTTAAATCGTCACCCGCGACAGGAGACACTACTTTATCCCCTTGGTTAATAATCTACTATTAGTGAGAGATGAGACAAATGTCGTCATTTTAATCAGAATATTATTGTTCCTACTCCTGGACCACAAGAGTACGAACATCAATAGGCTGTTATGCATCTACGGAAACAATCACATAGGGAAAACTGGCTATTTCCTTGGACGCAAGTTCAGTGTGGTAAGGCGAGTGCAGAGGAGCTCAAGCGACGTTTGGTCTGCGATCGTGGAAGTTAAGCAACTTTCGCAATGTTTGGTCATCGGATGGGTGACCAAAAAATTAACTATCTGGAGCTCCTCCGTACTTCCGAAGGCAGGTTAAGCCGTTGGACCCGGCTGTATCTGCAGTCGTTAGCACTAATCCGCACTGGGCCCGCGTTTTGGGTCGTGCGCGGCCCAATCTCCCAATTCCATCCATAGAGAAGGCCTGCGTCCCAGCAGTGGGGTAAATTAATAGGCTGATGGTGATGAATCAGCCTTCTGTTACACCCACTGTTGGAACACAGGATTTGTATGGGAAGAATCACTAATGGAAATTTTATAATATCCAGTACACGCATCTGCGTCTGGTTTGATTAGTGCTAAGGACTGCAGATTTGGTTTAACGTAACCTTTGAAGCACGAATGAGCTTCGTAATAAATTTTGGTAACCAATTTATTAAGCGACCGTGGCGAAAGTTGTCTACTAGATCAAATGTTCTAATATAGAGCCACGACAATAAGTGGGTTATTTTTAAAAGAACCTACTTAAGGCAGATTCTCCGCTAGAATTGAATCGCCCCTCTGAGAAAATCAACTTTTGTCATGATCCATTTCTAACAAGGAGTAAGGTTTTAAGAGATTAACGGTGTATTTATCGGATCAGGACGTTACCTAAGTGCCTACCGATTTTTTTGTGACGCAGACAAAACCTCTAGTTACAGACAACGGTGCCTATAAGAGGCACATCGTCAAACGGACCTCACATCTGGCTCCCGCCAGCCTTACGGGCCTCTACAGTGGCTGCCCACTGAGGACCCCGTAACTCTTACGGATGCTTTACAGCATAATATCCGATAAAAAACCCTACGACTACCCTCTAAGCTGCTAAGTGCGTGCGCTGGATCCCCGTTTTATCCCCGATTCTGCCGTGTCTCCGCACCCACAGCCTCCCGACATAGCCGGGGTAAGTACCTACTCTCACCATATCCACTAAGTGCCTACCCTTTTTTTGTGACGCAGACAAAACCTGTACTTATAGACAACGGTGCCTATAAGAGGCACATCGTCAAACGGACCTCACATCTGGCTCCCGCCAGCCTTACGGGCCCCCGCAGTGGCTGCCCACTGAGGACCCCGTAACTCTTAAGGATGCTTTACAGCATAATATCCGATAAAAACCCTGCGACTACCCCTCTATCTAAGCTGCTAAGTGCGAAACCGCGGGATCCGCGTTTTATCCCCGATTCTGCCGCGTCTCCGCACCCGCAGCCTCCCGGCCTAGCCGGGGTAAGTGCCTACTCTGACCACTACCTCCAGCAAGAGATATTTTACGGTATCGCAAGTTTCTGAAATAGAAGCTACGGTAGTCGCTTAGCATCAAGCGGTCCTTAAACTTCTTTTTCGATAAGTTGATTACATTATATCACGATTATATATATATATTTATTTATTTTTATTTATTTATTTATTTAATCTTTAATGCCTTTACATTGCATATGGCGGACTTAATGCCAGCATGGCATTCTCTACCAGTCAACCGGAAAGAACGTGCAGAGTCAATAAAACGGCAGACAATCATAGGAAAGAGCAAACATCAAACAATGAAAAACAAAATTAAATAGCGTTTAATATATACACATTTACATACATAGAAACATAAATATACATACATATATACATAATATACCTATAATATAGTGTCCGATTTTAGCATCCCGATTCAACTTAAGCGCTATGCAACAAATTCAAATAATTATATATTTTATATCATTATAGACGACCTCCGTGGCCGAGTGGTTTGTACGCCGGGTTTCATGGTGTCGCCGACTCGAGAGGTCCCTTGTTCGAATCCCGGTGGTGGCAGATGTTTGTGTGATGAATACGAGCGAATAAATATACATGTATATGTACAGTATATGTATTCTATCCGTTACCCATAATACAAGCCTTACAGTGCTTACTTTGGGGCTAGGCTAATTGGTGTGTGTTGTATTAAAAAAAAATGTCATACTGAAGGCAAACAGGCATAAACATGACTAAAATAGGAAAATATACTAGAAGATATTTACTGTTTCATGAAAACTTTAGATATAGCTTAAAATATTTATTTTCTCGGAATAATATCACTTACCAAAAGGTTGTTAGTGTGATATTCCGCCGAGGAATATTGTGCCCTGGCATCTTTCCACAGCGCCTGAGGCAGTGAAGTGCACATCCAGCGATCCGAACGCTTCTTGGGTGTTGGAATCACTTCTTTCAGGTACTTCAGTAGCTTGGGACCTGGATATTTAACAACAATAGGGTATGAAAGAAAGAAAAAAATTTATTGGTTGCACAGCATACATACATTGAAAACAAAACAGAATCTCCTATCTATTAGACAAGTCCGTCCGTCCGTCCGTCTGTCTGTGGTGCTGTTTCAGCGGCCAAACCGTAAGAGATAGATAAAGAGAATATTTAAGTTATAAGTTAAGAATGGTCTGATAAGACTACAAACCGGATTTGAGTAACGTAGCACTTCCGGTTTTCGAGAAATCACGAATTTCAAACGAAACCACACAAAATCTCCGAAGTTCTCAATTAATTAAATTTTTTCTTTTTTTTCTTTTTTTTAGGTTTTGGTGAACATTTGGTTCACCTGTTTGCTAGTTGAATTATAATACAGAATTATAATGAGTAATAAACTGAATGGATCACTTACCAGCTTCGGCGATGTAGCGCGAATGGTAGGCGATATTCGAGCAAGGCACTTCCTTGGCGAATATTCCTTGCGCTAAAAGCATGGCGACGAAATTTTTCATGATATCCGCTGGCCCGGAGATAGTGCTGGAATCTGGGGCATTGCGGCAAGCCACTTCTATCTCGGGTGGGCACATTGTTTTGATCTGAATGACAAAATTATAAAAATAACTTCTACACATACAAATACATTACAGTAATTGGCGTAATAGGGTATTTGACAAGTTTTAGAAAACGATCTCGCGTTATTAACTAATGTTTATAGAGTCCATAAAAAGATATTGGATATTCATCATTATGTTGTGTATTTCGGTAAAAAAACTAAATCAAAAACTCTATATTGAAGTTGCCGCGAAAAACGTATCTCTGGACAATATGGCGTCTCACTGGTGTGTAACGTCACACGACTGTCTTTAAAACGTCAAAAAATACAATTAATGTCACTTTAACCGGAAGTTTACTTGCGTGTGACGTCATTTTAGGCTCCACCAATCCCAAGCGTTTTGGGTCACGTGAAAAAAGACAAGAAAACTGTTATCTTTATCGTGGGTTTTTAGTAAAATTATGAATATTTTTCTGTTAAAAATAGTAAAAACTCCTGCCAATATTCATTCTAAATACAGATGCTAACAATTGGCACTTTACTTTTAATACTGTCAAATACCTTATTGTTGAGGAGCTCGATGGCGCCAGTGGTTAGCGCGTTCGGCTGCGGTCGTTGAAGTTAAGCAACTTTCGCAGTGGTCTGTCATTGGATGGGTGACCAAAATTTACTGTCTCGAGCTCCTCTGTGCTTCGGAAGGCACGTTAAGCCGTTGGTCCCGGCTGCATCTGCAGTCGTTAGCACCCACCAACCCGCACTGGGCCCGCGTGGTGGGTCATGGCCCAATCTCCCTAATCCATCCATAGGGAAGGCCTGTGCCCCAGCAGTGGGGACATTAATAGGCTGATGATGATGATGATGACCTTATTGTTAACATGTTACCTCGTTTCTATCGATACATTCTGTGATCATGGCACTTGCAAAAGCGCCGTTATATCTGAGACTCAATGATAACAAGCAACCCCGGTAATTTTAATGTTATTTATGAGAAAAAAGAGTTAGAGAATAAATATATAAAATATATGATGATAAAGATATCTCTGCCTGATTATAACCGAAAAAATTTAATTACAGAACTATTGGAATCCTTATTTTAAGCAATTAACTGCTAGATGTTTAAGTCTAAAGAAAATTCAGACTCAAACGCGGACCCTCCGCTATCCGAGCGGATGCACTGATCAATTATGCTACCACAACTCTAATAGCCGTGTTGATATAGAGTAATTAGTACATAAAAGAAATTTATAAAATGAATTGATCAATTTAGACTTACCTGAGAGTACCCTAAACCAACTGCAGCCATAGAGCCTTTGATGAAATGCGTTTCAACGGAGGCTAAGCCTCGGTAGTAAGCAGCCAGAATCATCTGTTCGGCAGTGAAGCATCCATCGGCGTACGCGCATCCTAGTTCTCCTACGCTGTGACCTAGAGAGTGTTGAAAAATAATTAAATAAGACTTGTTTAGAAATAAAAGGAAAAAAATATGCCATACAAAGAAGAAGGGCAAACTGAAAATTAATTGATCGAAACAGTAAAAGGAATAATTAGGTACTGAACAATAGTATTTCAGATGTACGGTGGCCAATTAGAACTTTGTTATAAGGGTCTGAAAATATTTTTATTAGTAGTTTCTAGTTTTACGCACTTTGTCTATACGCGTTAATGCCTGGCATCCCAGATCTAAAAAATAAGAAAGAAATATTTATAGATCTGAGAATGGAATTCAACCACTTAGTTGTTACCCACATAGCTACAGAAGGTAATTAAATAATAATTATAAAATTAAAGAAAATCTCTCGCTACTTCCGCTTACCGATGATGTAGTCCGGTTCAATGCCAATCGTCTTCAGGACATCGGTGAGACCGATCTGGACGGCGGCGATGCCAACGAAGGAGTTGAGGATGTTGTCGTAGATGCTGGGGTCTGGGTCGGTCACAATCTTTGTGAGGTTGATGCCTTTAGGTTTGAGGGTTTTGTGACACCTATTCGAGAGAAAATTCGAGAGCGAAAGTTAGTAGAAGTGATATTGAAGATGATACAAATCATCAAAACATGTAGTGATGCTGCAGATTAATCATTTGTATGTATATAATTCAAAAACAGAAGACAAATCCAGAACATCTTTGTTCATATTGGATGAACTAAACAACTATTTTACACTTATTTTTAAAGTTATGGCCACGAAGACAATTGATGAGTAATGTTTCTAGTAACAAGCGTCTAAACACTGTTTAGTTAAAATGATTGCTATGAAAAATCAAGATTATTGTCTTTTTTCTAATATTATTTAAGTATAATTTATATCTGCTATATCTAAAATTTGTTATGATATTAAGTTTGTGACAAAATTATACATATTCATCATCTGCGCCTTAGTCAGCGTAGATTCTGTCTACTATATGTATATGCGAACAATTGTAATTCACCTTTCGATGGCAGCAGCAAAGACTGGTATCCTCATGAGCTGCGTGGCCATCCCCGCCCACTGCGAGCCCATTCCCGAGTACACGAACCACACGGGCCTCTTCACACCGGAGAAGTATTGCATCTCGCGTGCCAAAGATACCGCCTTGTCCGGAGTGGATTCTGCATATGAGATACATGTTTATGATATCTTGGATAACTTCCATCAGATAAAGAAAGGCATTCAGAATATTGTTAAAATAGTGAAATTTGAAAAGGGGACTGGGTCTTGAGCGGGCCACAGAATTGGCATTTTCTATAAAAAGATCTATAGCCCTCAATATCATAATAGGTGCCCCTGGAACATTATTCACCTCTATCTGTAGCCTAGAGGGCTAGGGATCAGAATACGCTCGGGTAAAGCAATCGTTGTTGCAATCAAAAAGGTTTGAGAACATTTTGAATGTAATCATTATTTTGTAAGAATTTCCTATATCGACGCTATACCCAGCTTAGACAGAATGGCAGTAACACTAATTCTAATGTTAGTTAGTATTTACTAATATCAATCAACAATTTATTAGAAATTTTAAATGGCGGTAGAGGCCGGATACAATTTTAAAATGCTAATACTCTTCAGCTAACTCGGTATTTACCTATATTTTTAGTGTATCTTGAAGTTACCTTTTCCCTTTTTTTTAGTTGCTCAAGCTAGATTTAGAATTTAACCAAACTCACCAAGTAAAGAATATCCCCTAACGACATGTCCGATGATGTCCTCGTCATGTATGGCGTGGTAGAGCCTGATCAATTCCGTGTCGACCGGCCTGGTCTCCAGGTCATCTAGGATCTTGGCCACAGCTGATTCCGTGCGGCCTGATACGCACACGAGACGAGGCAGATCATCCGATGGCATTCCATGGTTAACCTGTACAATTTCTCATTTAAAATCATAAACGACCAAAATTAAATGCCATTCGTATGAAAATTTCTAGAGTATGACTTTATCGAATTTTAAGGAGCAATACAAGGACTATTTGAAATTGTAAATGAACAGAGAGCGTTACTCGACACTATAGAAAACAGACGACGAAGGATGTTTGGCCACCTTGTTACGACTAATATAAAAAAACATTATTCAGAGAAAAGTAGAAGGAAACAGAGGAAGGGAAAGTAGAACGAAAGACAGGAAGGCAAGGCTACGGATAGATTACTCAAACCAAATTAAGCACAGCTGCCATCGAGTCAGACAGGCTGATCAAAGATCTGGCAAAGGATAGAGCTCATGGCGAAATATTCGGATCCTTCGCAATCCGGGCGAATGCACTGACCAATTATGCTACCGCGGCCCTGACGACGGCCGGAAATGGCCTTGCAGCTTAAGAATGGCTAGAAGAATTTCGAATTTCGAGAAATTTCGAATTTCCGTCTGCTGCCTGGTCCGCGTGGATTTTTTTCTAGTTATATTTTCTTTAAATTATTATTTTATTAGTATCTAAATTGTACCTGTGCTAAGCCGGGTGGGCCATTATATAAACATACAAATAACAAGTATTTTATGCTATATGCCATGATTATTAATGGGATGAATTTATTACAAGAACAATTAGATTTTTATGCGATTAAATAGAGAACTCGCCATTAAATGGCGCCCTAATGTACTCAAGAAATTTTCTGAACACAGGATTTTATGTTAATTTCTGATAAACAAAGAGACAAAAGAGACTAAAGACTTGAAGAATAAACGTTTTATAATGAAGTTTGAGAATAGAAGCAAAAAAATGCAAGGACTTTATGAGTCGCCTTAATTAATTACATCTTTCTATGGAGAAAACTCAGTCTTATTTTAACTTCTTTATCGTGCAAATTTAACAGCTACTCCTTGTTTTTAGGGTTCCTTACCGAAATAGTGATGATGGAACCCTAACTACTATTACCAAGCCTCTGATGTTCTTTCTTTAGTCTGTCAGCAAGTTCAATATCACGAACCGTAAAAAGTAGAATGCGTAAAGGTATAATGTTCTATATCGGTATATAAATGTTCATAAATTGAAGTGAGAAAAAATCTATACACGCGCTGCCTATTTCTAATTTTTGTGATGGTAAGGAACCCTTCGCATTTGAATCGCACTTGGCTGGGTTCTTAGCTTATCCATGGCTTATGTTAAAACGCTAAAAGACATTTATTTGAAATGATGAATTTTTACTTGTTGTGACTACTGATTAGATAATCCTATCTTGTGTTGAAGCTAAGCATGTCTGAGAAAGCTTTTCAGATAATTTTAGTACTATACTGTCTTGGCTTGGCACTTTTATATTATTGAGTTTGAAATGTTGTTTTCATTTTTCAACCGACAAAAAAACGGGGAAGGTTAGCATTCGATGCGTATATTTTTTAATGTATGATCGTGCATAACTTTTTACTCAGTTGTCCGATTTGTCATTTATTAGAAAGGGAATACTCCGAAGTTGGTCCTATATAAATTTAGAAAAACAATTCTTACTCAAAGGGTAGGAAAATGGGGGATGAATGATTGTCAACTCATTGGTTGTGATGTATGACTACGCATAACATTTTACACCGTAGTCTGATTTTGATGGTTCTTTTTTTATTGGATACCTCGAAGTTGTTCCCAGATAAATTTCGAAACAAACATCCTACCCTTAGGTTGGGAAAATAGGGGTAATTGTTCTCACAGATTTTGATGAAAAATTATAGTCACATTTTTTTTTAAATTTAAATTGTTTTCACAAATATTTAAACCGCTGGAAGGCAAGACATAAAAGCTTTTTTATTTTTAGTCAAATTAATATTTCGAGATGGTGCCAATTATAAAAGTCTGGCTACCCCACTCGGAAAACGGCTTGAAGACTTATAAATGAGTATTTGTGGGTGAATGTGTGTGTTTGTGTGTGAATGTGTGTGTGTTTGTCTGTGTAGTTGTGAGTGAATATGTTTTGTGTGTGTGAATGTATTATATCATTGTACCTTTTCCCTTCCAACGTTCTAGACTCTAGAACAACATTTTAGCGTTGGCACCATTGAAGCCGAAGCTGTTGACGTCAGCCATGCCCTTGTTCCAGAGGGTCTTGTTCGTGGCCACCTTCAGTCTACCCTCCCTTGGCTTCAACTAGTTTATTGGGGGTATGTATGGAGCGTGCCTTGTGTAGCTATTCTCTCTGCCTAACCCACTCGGGAAACGACTTGAAGATTTATATATGTGTATTTGTGAGAGAGTGAGTAAGAGGCGTGAAGAAGCAACATGCAGGCCGGCAAGGTGAGGATGGCTGGTGTGGCAGGTAGAATTGCTTTACCAGCTATCTTCACCTCTGGACTACACCATCACTTAACATCAGGTGGGGTGGAGTCATTTGTCGGACCTATCTATATAAAAAAAGAGTGAATGTGTTTTTGTGTGTGTTTATGTGTGTGTGTGTGTCTGTGTAATTGTGAGTGAATGTGTTTTGTGTGGGTGTGGTGTGGTGGTATTATTATACCTTTTCCCTTCCGACGTTCTTGAGCAACACGTGAGCGTTGGCACCGCCGAAGCCGAAGCTGTTGACGCCGGCCATACCCTTGTTCCAGGGGGTCTTGTCTGTGACCACCTTCAGTCTACCTTCAGCTAACGCCGCCACACCATCTCTTGGCTTCGAGAAGTTGAGGTTGGGAGGTATGAGGCCGGTGCCGTAAGCTATGCACATCTAGAGAAATACGAAGCATTAGGTTCTATTCAACGATATTATGCAAGTAGATCTTATCCTATCATACTTATATTATGAACTAGCGGCCCGCCCTCGGTTCGCTTCGGTGTAGAGCTGAAGTATAGACGACAGTTTTTGTTCTCAGGCTTGTATTATATACATTGACATTCATCTATGATTCTTCTTATACTTGCATGCAAAGTCTCAGCCCGATCGGTTTAAAATTGACAAACTTTCATTCCCTATTTTATCCCCTTGGGGGTAGAATTGATCAAAATCCTTTCTTAGCGGATGCCTACGTCATAACATCTACCTGCATGCCAAATTTCAGCCCGATCCGTCTAGTGGTTTGCGCTGTGCGTTGATAGATCACTATGTCAGTCAGTCCTACCTTTGAGTTTTATATATAAAAATATGTGAAAGTTTGTATATTTGTTACTCAATTGCGCAAAAACTACTGAACGAATGTTAATGTAATTTAGGTACGCATATAGGTGATGACCTGGATTGGGACGAAAGATATTTTTTATCCCGGAAAAGTGTCAGGTTTTAAAGGGATTGTCAAAAACTAAACAGAACGAGGTAAACGTCGGGAGCGGCCGCTAGTTCTAAAATATAAATTATAATTCTAAAATAATAAAATAGACTCATTCTAAATTGACCTTCATTAGGGTGCAACTGATTCGCTAAAACGGCCATGTTGTCAGAATATTGTGATGTTTAGACGGAAGTTAATATTTAGTTTTTTTTATTAAACTAAGTATATACTTCGGCGTTCTGCTTTTATTTAACGTTAATAAAGGGAATAAAAATTCAACAAAATGATAGCTACATTGGAAAAGGAACACAGTTTACCAATTAATAAAATATGTTATGTTTGATTAAACTTTAAATAACTTTTTATCGGACAAAAAAATGTAAAGTATGTCCCTCTCCGAAGTCCCCTTTATTTCTATATCAAAATTCATCAAAATCAGTTCAATAGTTTGTGTCAGCGTAACAGACAAACGTCAGTGTTACTTTCGAATTTATAGTTGGTAATTTCTATTCTCCATGTCTTTAATGCTGAATTACATAATTACTATATATATAAATACTAGAACAATAAAACTAAAACTAAAAACTTTAAAAATAAAATTAATAACTAAAATATATTATTAAAAAGAGTCCCTTTAGGCAAGGATCCGAAAATACTGGCAGCGTTACCCCTTTGAATGGCTAGACTAATTCTTTGTCCGAGGTAGCTGCCAGCTCTTGATGCTGAGTTTGTTTGTCAAGTTGCTCACCTTGGCAATGGAGCACAGGCCAGATGCCGGTTCAGTGTGTCCCAGGTTCGACTTGACGGAGCCAATGAGCAGGGGTTCCGACCGTCCGGTGCAGAAGATCTCGTCGATAGCCAACAACTCCTCAGGGTCTCCCACGCGAGTACCTGATGAATAAAGTAGAAGAAAAAGATTGCAAACATGATGTTCAGTATCTTATAGGATGAAGTTAATGATCTTAACTTTAGGATTTAGCAAAGTATGCAGAAATACAGGGTGGCAATCCTAGTTCGACAGTAGATGCCAGTAATTTTTTTATAGGAAAAGCATATTTTAATTATTTATAGCGCATTTAAACAAAATCTTGTTTTTAAAAAGTATTTTTTTTAATTAAATTTATTTTTCATTTTTTTTGCTATCGTTGGACATAATCAAAGACGTATAAAACCGCATATTCTCAGCAAGACTTTTCATTTGATACCCATATTGTAGAAAAGCATAAAAATCTTTTTTAGTCCGCCATATTGGATTAAAGGTAATGGCACTATATTTTTCGAGTTATTCTCAGCAAGCCCTTTCATTTCATACACATACTGTATGAATGCATCAAAAATAACTAGTCCCCATCTTTTATGTTCCGCCATATTGGATTTAGAATGACGTCACATATCTAACCATGCATTTTCATTCAAACTAAACGTTTGTACAAAATTTCAGCTCAATCGAATGAAAATATCTACTTCAAAATTGAATGGCAAGATTCCATCCGAACAAACATACATTGCAAATAAATTAAAAGCTTTTAAAAAGCAATCGATTTTACAAAGGCTACTGTTGCCTAATCCTAAAACGAAAAATAAAAATAAATCTTCATCGAATAGCGGGTCTTTAAACGGGCTTCCTGTACCCCTAGCACGAACCATTATCGAATTCGAATAGTTTGCGAGTGCGAAATCTCCATGTCAAATTTTGTATGGAAACTTGAACAGCAGCGCCGCAAAGTACGTAACGAGAACTAAAAATCAATACACATTTAACAATGACATTTCGCACTCGCAAACTATTCGAATTCGATATTGGTTCGTGCTAAGGGTACTGAAAACCGAATCTCGATATAAGTGGAATTCTTTACCCGCGCACGTGTTCCCCCCTTCCTATAATCTGGGGTCCTTTAAGAGAAGCGTGAAGAAGCATTTTTGCAGGCCGGCAAGGTGAGGATTGTTGGAGTAGCAGTTTATAACTGGTGTACCAGCTATCTTCGCGTTTGGACTTTATCACCACTTAACATCAGGTGGGGTAGAGTCATTTGCCTACCTAGTTATATATAAAAAAAAAATATGGGTGCGTGTACTTAAGTACGCGCGTGAGAAGTTATACTTCTTTTTGGAATTATTAAAAAATAGTTTTTAATTGCATGCAGATAATTAATAAAAGGATTGGAAAAGGATAGTCAACGCAGTCAATAAAGTTCAGTTTTAATTTGAAAAAATTAATAAATAATCAAAATATTCAATTGAAATCACTACTGAATAAAATTTATTAGCACATATAAATTTCGCATTTGTATAACATTATAACACGTGTTAAGAATATAGAAACTAGAAACATGTGGATAAATATTATAAATATGAAAACAGTGATCAGAGGCGACGAGCGTCCCAACATGTGCGACTAAGAGATCCTATTACTATTTTGTTGGAAGCTTTTTTTCGAGACTTACGAGTAATGTGCGGTTTAGCGGCCGACTTCATGGTGTTACAGTGTTGCGCGCGCATCTTAAAATTTCACTCTCATCATTTTTTCATAAAGCGCCCGCGGCTAACTTCATTATGTTACTTTTGTGTTACAGTGATGCGCGCGCATCTTAAAATTTCACTCTCATAATTTTTTCATAACGCGGCTAAAGAAGTATAACTTCAAAAAAATACGTAGCGTAGCTGGCCGAAAAACTCAATAACAAAAATATGAATAGCAAACAATACTGTAGTAATTTTGCAAAAAGTTTGAAGACACTTATGAAGTATTTATTAGTGGCTACTAGAGTAAATGTAGTTTCATTTCACGCTGCTCCATTAGTGCGAAGTATAACTATTGTTCCGCAGTAATCGCCGGGTTCATTTAATTTGCGCCCGGAGTTCTAAGGGGTACGCGACGCAACAGGCGTGGACTCAGGGCATGGAAATTAAAGGGGTGAAGCTTTACTTTGCCTAGCGAATTACAGTATTCTTTGCAATGATAATTTCCACATCTGTTTTAGGGCTGCAGCGAGCAGGTTAAGCGACGGGAGTGTGATAAGTAATTCGGTTTCGTAAACAGGCTGTTGAAACACCATACCATCGAGAAGGTCATTCAGTTTGTTTGCAATCTCTTTAAAAAACGAAGCTGATGTTAATTTTTGCTGCTAAATCAGTTTAGCTTTATTTATTTAGTAAAAGCCTTATCTATATTTAAATTACAAATAGATAATAATTTAATATATGAATGCACAACTTTAAAAAGAAAAAATATTTATTAGATAAATGCTTTTAAATATACTTTTTAATATATATAATGAACACTTTACAACAAAATAATACTAATGAGCCGATTTTTTTTTAAAATACAAACCTAGTATATAATAATCATGTTAATTGACATATTATTTTATTTTTATTGACATATTTATTAATTTTAATTACTGACAAACAAGTGATTTAATACAAATTAGGTTCCTTATATACATGACTGTTTATTAATTAAATTCTTTTGTAATTTTTATCTTTAACTGTACTGTATATTGCGATACCCTGACAGGGTTCATGTTAGGTACTATAAGCATTTTGTAACCATCGATGTAACCACATGGGTGCAATAAATTGAATTGAATTGAACTATATTTTTTTGGCCGATAACCAAATTTAAAATAAGCCATTTGAACATTATGTTCTAAAATCAAATCGAATAGCGCGCGCTTTCGCGACTTCCTGGTAGACACTTCCGTCCCATTTCACGAAGTCACTCCCACAAGTAGGGGTATTTGACAAGTTTTAGAAAACGATCTCACGTTATTGGCTAATGTTTATGGAGTCCGTAAAAAGAGGATGTTCATCATTCTGGCCCCTGCCATTATTCATTCTTAACACAGATGCTAACAATTGGCACTTTATTTTTAATACTGTCAAATACCCTATTGCAGGAAAGCGAGATGAAAGATGTTACACATCAAAAACTTCGCCATGAATCTTGTTACTTCTCGAAAATGTTTCCAATTCCGGCCCTTTAGTGCTGAAAGGGTGTATGAAAAAGGTGCTCGGGTAAACAAAAACTAATTGTCGGCGCTCGTGGAATGAAAAAAGGTGGCATATCCGAAACAGCGCTTTCATTTGTTTAAAAATTAACGCCAACCGCAATATGCGCATTTCAAAATGTCTATTCTTCTACCATTTTAATAGGGTATTTGACAGTGTTAAAAATGAAGTGCCAATTGTTAGCATCTGTGTTTAGAATGAATATTGACAGGGGTTTATACTATTATTGCAGAAAAAATATTCATACAATTACTAAAAACCCACGAAAAAGATAATAGTTTTTCATATCTATTGTCAAGTGATTGAAAACGCCTGGGATTGGAGGAGCCTAAAATGACGTCACACACTAGTAAACTTCCGGTCAAAGTGACATCACAGTGTATCGTTTGACGATTTAATGACAGTCGTGTGACGTCACACCTCAGTGAGACGTCATATTGCCCAGAGAAACGTTTTCGCGGCAACTTGAAAATTGAGTTTTTGATTTAGTTATTTTTACTGAAATACACAAGAGAATGATAATAATAATAATAATGTTTATTCATCAAACCTTACAAGTACTACTACAATATCATCTTAAAATAAACTAGGAATGGTTTGCTATCTTATAGTCTTATGAGTAGGACCCCTGACTTTCATGCTAGGCAAGACCTGTATTATGAAAGGCAGTGGTTCGATTCGAGACACCGGATGACTACAAAAACGTTATTGATTAATGTGTGTGTGTGTGTGTGTGTGTGTGTATGTGTGTGTGACTATCTATGTGTTTGTGTGTATATGTGAGATATAGTGGGTGTTGTAATAATTTCATCTATATTTTAAAGTAGTATATGTTCCGTTTCACTGTAAGTGCGCGTTAGTATCCACTCTTTTACCTTGGTCTTAAAATCATGAATGATGAATATCCACTTTATATGGACTCCATATTTATTAGTAAGTAACGTGAGATCGTTTACCAAAACTTGTCAAATATCATTTATGAAATTAATACGCAGTTATTCCTATTTTAACGGTGTTTTTTTTTAACTTTAGGATATTAATATATTTAGGTTTTTTATTTGCAGTGGTTTTCTTTAAAGCACAAGGAAAATTTTAAGAGTTTCATAAGTTTTTCGAGGACTTTTTAATGTTTTATTGTAGTTTTTTTTTTAATTTGAATTCTGTGGCAATTGTATTATTACTGAAGTCTGTACGGAAAGAGAATGCCACGCCCATTCTCCATAATGTTAATTAAGATTTTTATTTGGCAATCAAACCCAGCAATCTTTAAAACGTCAAAGTTTTGTATTGATACCGATTTGTTTGTTGTTGTGATTTCTTGCGGTTTTTTGTGTTTAATCATGTCTAAAGGGGGTAAAACCTTACAAATACGGTAGAAAAGCACTACAGCGCCCTCCAATCTAAATCCCATTCTCTTTCCGCACAGACTCTATCATCATTTTCGAAAGCTAAGACTCTGGCTCGTTTGTTTTTTTTATAAAAGATTCGAGTGCGTTTGTCAACAATCGCATGTGATTTTAAGCAACGATGTGGTCCAAGCTAGAACACTCAAACTTCAAATAATGCCCAGTTACTCTTATCTCGAAACTCCCTTAGTATATATATCAAGGAATACAGATGTACAGACACAAGGAGGGTGTGTCATTCCCTAGTGGTTCATATGATAAGGAGGATGCGAATCGTGATGTACGCAGGGGAGGTAAGTCAACCACGTACTGGTGAAGATGCTGTCTACGTCTTGCTGTCCGGTGGTAATAAGGTGCAGAAAGAGTTAGGTTATAAATCTTTTTTTTTAAAGAAAATATGACTAGAAAATATTCCACGCGGACCAGGCATCACAGGGGACTCGAAGCCGCACCCTTCGCTTCGTTCGAGCCCCG